ATTTAATATATTATTACATGTTTTCAAAAATTAAACCACCAAACGCAGTTTCAGTTTTTTTTTAAAACTGAAATCAATCTCTAAATAAAACTACCAAACGCATTTTTAGAAATAATTCAAAAATAAAACTAAAAACGTTTTCATTTTCATTTTCGTACAGAAAATAAAAACGTTTTGGAATCAATTCCAAACACACCCTTAGTTTCTTATTCTTTTAATAGTTTTTAACCAATATTTTTTTTTACAACTATTATAATTTATATATTAGAAATGGTTATTTTTTTGTTTATATTAGATATTTTGTTTATATTAGTTTCTTCTCTTTTTGCGTTTACTTGGATTGTGATGCTTATTATTTCTTATTATTCATTTATTAAAAGTATATAAAATATGAATATAGAATTTTAAAAAAGAATAAAAATAAAAGAAATAAAATTTTATGGTAAGAAGTGATAAAAATAGGAGTAAAAAATGATTAAAATGACAAAATAAATAAGTTTTAAGAAAAACGGACCAAAGGCAAAAAAAAATAAATAAACAAAGTTTCATGGCAAAAATTTTGAAAAAAAAAGTGTAAAAATCAACCAAAATGGGGAAATAAATAAATTTTAAGACAAAAAATAACTAAAATGAAAATAAAATTCAAGACAAAAATAAAACAAAAGGTCAAAAAAGGTAAAATGAAGAAATAAAAAAATTTTAGATCAAAATAAAATAAAATTGTAGAACATAAATAGAAAAATGGTAAAAAGAAGAAATAAATAAGTTTTAGAAAAAAGGAAACAAAAAAAAAGTCTTAGGGTAAAAATAAAAAAATGGGTAAAAAAATATCAAAATGAATAAATAAATAAGTTTTAGGGTAAAAAGTCAAAACGAAAAGTAAAATAAAATTTCAAGAAAAAAACCTAAAAAAAAGTTTTTAAAAAAAAGAGACTAAAATGAAGGGAAAAAATATTTTTGGACAAAGGTAAAATAAAATCAAAATGAAGAAATAAGGTTTCATGGAAAAAGTTAAAAAAAGGTGAAAAGGACTAAAATAAAGAAATAAATCAGTTTTAGAAAAAAAAATAAAGAAGAAAGAAATAGAATTTGAGGACGCAAATAAAGAAAAGGGTAAAGAGACAAAAATGAAAAATAAATAAGTCTCTGAGTAAAAGGAACCAAAATAAAAAAACTAAAGTCTTCAAGTAAAATAAAAAAAGGGCAAAACATACCAAAACGAATAATTAAATAAATTTTAGGGTAAAAACTAAATGAAAAGTAAAATAAAATTATAGAAAAAACTTAGAAAATTGGTAAAAAAAACATAATTTTAAGGTTAAAAATAGAAAAAAAAAAATAAAAGCAATGACTTGAAAAGGAAAAAGGAGGTGCATCTCGATCAGAACGACGAAATGTGCTCAATATTTAACCGATTTCGGCCGTCAGATCAAGTTTATTAACGACCTTAATGCACAAATTAGTTCAAAATAAATAAATGAATATATTAAATAATAATAATAATAAATAAAATTAGAAATGATTTTGGCTATCAAGCTTATCGACGGACTTAATGCACAACTTAGTTCAAAATAAACAAATGAATATAATAAATAATAATAAAAAATTAAAATTAGAAATGATCTTGGTCGTCAGATCAAGCGTATCAACGGTCTTAATGCACCCATGAACAATATGTAGACCAAGGAGAATGGAGCAAAAGGCATGCACTAGGTGGATCCCGCTGCGATTTTAAATGAGCCAATTAGGATGTGACACGTAACGCTCCTGCCTGCCACTTTCCATCAGCTTTTGATTCCATGCATTGTGATCCACGTTAGCTCGTGTTTTTTCCAAATTATTTTTGACACGTGTCAAATTAAAAGGATAAACTATTAACGTAACGACACTGTATTCTACTAAAGAAAACGCTCAATTAAAGGTTGACACATAACATCCAAAAGAAGACAAAATAACTTTACCAAAACTTTAAATAGTTCTTTTATATCTAAGCGAATAGTCTTACGTGTCTAGATAAATAGTAAGTGCATTCACCTTTAACATATAATTATAAATATAGATATTATATATATATATATCATTGTGCACTGTAATGAATTAAAAAAAATGAATATCCTCTTGTACCATTAAAAATTAACAAAATAATACTTTACATCAAACGAAGAAAAACAAATAACAACGAAAATAAAAAGGCAACAAAATTAAAGTAAGGATACTAGAATTTCAATGTTAAAACTCATTAAAACCTTCTCCATCAAAAACAAGTATATTTCTTCGCTTCAATAATTTTCAAAAGCTTCTTTTTGAGATTGAATCAAAATTTTTATTTCCTTTTTGTCTTGAGTTTGTCATACCCCGGTCAATGCAAATTTTTCAATGAACATATTTATTCTTAAAACTTAATTTGAATATGCAGAAAAACCATCAACATAACCATAATAAAAGTTAAAATGGTTAATTTAAAATTCAAAAAACAATAATCAACAAGTAGATTAAAAAAAAAAAGAGAGAGTAAGAGGGCTATAACCTAGAAACTTATAAAAAAATATTGAGATAATAGTAACAATACAATATTTGAAAGTAAAAAAGAATATTAGAGAGACTAGATTGTTGTTTTGAAAATGGAGAAATATCAATATAAATTTAAAAAAAGAAAAAGAAATATAATTTTCTAAATAAAAAAGAAAGAGGGCAAAAAGATTGACATTAGTTTTGTTTTTTACACAAAAAAAATTACAGTTTAATTGAGTTCTTTTCTATATATGATACTTGTTAAATGTAAATCATCTTTTTCTTCTTCTTTTTTTTTTTTGAAAGTTGCTGCTTCTAATTTCAAAAATATGAATCCGTATTAATTATTCTATATTTGAGGATACTACCTTATGTGGTGAGTTTTAATATATTTGTAATCGTTAGCTTCTAAAAAAAAATTAAATAAAAAAATTTAAATAATGCATAAAAAATATGGGCAATTTTATGGTAGGATTCTTCTATTGGTATGGTGAAATAGTAAAAATAGTTGGACTAAAATTTTATGGTCCAAAATACTTTGTTTTATAGAAATAAGTAGGACTGTTTATGGATTGGGTTGATACGTGATATAATTTTTTATTCTCTCGTTTTAAACAGTGTGGGTTATACATATTTAGCCCTAATAATGTTAGAAAAATTTCACAACCCAATGATGTTTGGGTTGGGGCGGTGCCGGGTGGGTTGAGTGGTCGGTTTCAATATTTAAAGAATTAAAGACTCAAAGTTTAATCCAACATTCAAAATTCATCATCAAATATAAATAATAACTCTAACATTCAAACAAATAGAAATTCAAAGTTCAATCCAACATGAAGCAAAATAGTCCATCCAATATCAAACATAAAGTAAACATAAATAGTCTACATTCATAAATTAGTCTTAACATAAAGCAAACATAAATTAGTCTACACTCATAAATTAGTCTTAACATAAAGCAAACATAGAGGCTTAATTCAAACATGAAAAAATTAGAGAGTATAAATGAGTTGCATGCCTAGGGTTAGATATTAGAATAGACAAGTTAGAGCGTAGGTTAAGTTTGGGTGTGCGGGTAATTATAAGCCCAATCCACATCCTGTCCTAAAATTTCGGGCCAGATATTGAATGGATTATAATAATAAGATTAGAATCATTTTTGATTTACGTGTATTTTTTTGAGAGAAAATTTCTGTAGCGAACCATGAATTATGATTAGAATCAAGGTACGAATCCCCTAACTAAACAACCCCTAAAACGTAAAGACGTTTGATTCACAGAGTAAAATCATGTGATTAGAACTGTTTTTTATTTACGTATATTTTTTATGAAAAAAAATATTATAATAAATTATAAATTATGATTTAAACCCTCCAACAATAAACGTATAGTTTCAAATTGAGTTGGATGAATTGAGCCTACAAGTTTTGCGGATTTATGAACGATACAAGAACCTAATTAAAAAAAAAAAAAAAAAAAAAAAAAACCCCTCCCCAAAAAAAAAAAAAAAAAAAAAAAAAAACCTCCTTCCCCAACGCAAATTTTGCGGATCCAACCTCTAATTTGCAAACCCATCTTTGATACCCCAACTTAATTTGCAGACCCACCAGCCACCACCTCCCGGCGTCGCAAGCCAGTTTAACCCCGCACACCCAACTTTTCCCCTCTCTCCGACAGAAGCCCTCTCTTCCATCGGCGCCTGCAAGACGGCGTCATCTCCCCTATCCTCCGACTGCAGTCCTCCCCCACGACGGCGCCGGCATAATGGACTCCGTCACGGACTTCGTCAAGAGACCCACTGATTAATGGGAGGAAGAGCATGTGATTTACGTCGGTTGGTTTGATTTTCCGTTGATTGTGGCTCCGTGTTTCCACTTCATCATCATCTTGTTGCTCGTTCATCAAAGAGACTAAATTCGCTGAAGATCTCGGATTACATGCGTTTAAGAATACTCAAACTTCTTCAAAAACAGGTTTCTCTCTAGTCTTTGGGTTTTTTTTTTTGAAAAGGGAAATCTAGTTTATACTTTATGGTTATTACTAGTATGATTATTGTTATCGTTAATATTGTCTGAATTTTGTGTAAGTTATTATTATGTCTACAATTTGGAGAGTTCATATTTGTCAAGAGAATATAGAATAGGAGTTTGGGGAAGATGAAAATGAAGGAATATTCGAGGAAATAATAGATTCGGAAACTGGAGCAAACAAAACCATAATCTCATTCACTTTTTTCTCTCTTGATTCCAAAATCACCCAGTTTAGGGACTTGGATTTGCTTGTTTCGAAATGAACCAGTTTAGGAATTTTGATAATTTGAAGGTTGGTTTCTGGGTTGTCTGAATTCTTTGGAATTGTTGATTGCAAGGAAAATTTGATAATTTGAAGGTTTCTGAGTTGTCTTAATTCATAAAATTTGATAATTGTTGGTTTCTGGGTTGTTGAGATTCTGAGGAGTTTTGGATTGCGAGAAAAATTCATGATTTTAACTTTTAAGGTTGGTTTTTACTTTCTGGGCGTACTAAACTATTGTTCTTCATTCTAAAAAAAAAAAAAAAAAAATATTGTTCTTCAGCGTTTTTTTAATATAGGCTACAATCCAGTGTGAATGAGACTACGTAAACCTTCACTAAGATTTAATATGGATCGTTGGATTTCATCCTACCGGTAGGGGAAAAAAGCTCCCCTTACGATAGACATGTCCAAAAAATATAATAGAAACAGGCCTAAATTGTAGGCTAAAACTTTGGGGCCTTAAGCAGCTGCTTAACCTGCCTTAGGGTTAAGCGGGCTCTGGATTCAGTAGAAGCAGACCTTTTTTGGTTACATTTTCGCATTTTTAGCTTATTTTTCCATGGAAGTTGAATCAAGTAAATTCCTTCAAGTTCCGTGTTTGAGTTTTGGCTTGCAATCGATTCTCATAAAATTAATATTCTATATATCTTGTTGTTCAATGCCTTGCAATGAATTTTGTTCCTTGGGGTTGGTTGTCATGCCTTGGTCAATTTACAGTATATTAATTTGTTTTAAGTTTAATTACTACAATAGGATGGAGTTCAAGTAGTAATGGCTTTCATGTTCTACGCAGGCGGGTTGATTACTTTTTTGAGTTGGAAGAACGTTAACATATTCCGTGTTGCACTCGGAAGACGTTGTTTTGTTGACACATTTCGGGTGTGACCATGAATTTCTTAATGCGATCTACGCAGAGTGTAACTACAGAACAAGCATCTGTTCCTGAGCCAGTAGCAGAGACGCATCACGATCCAAAACCTACGGCATCTTTGGAGTCTCTTATAGCTGAAGATCCATATCCACAGTATTCCAGAGTCGAATTGCATGATGGAGAGAACGATGGTTTTGCAGGCGAAAATGCTAGCATTGCAGTTCCAGATGCAAAGAAAGACTCTTCTACCATAGCTAAGCATTCTGATGTGTCTGAAGAGGAAGGATGGATTACCATTCCTTACAGTATGCCCTTATCGCTACACATTATCTGTAGATTATTCTTGTACTCTTTCCTTACATTATACCCTTATCGCTACGTTCTCTGTAGATTATTCTTGTACTCTTCATTATCGCTTTATGACTATCTGCACCCACACAAATACTGTATTAGACTATCTATGCGCGCTTAGATCTGGAGAAGAAATTCTTCTCTTGACAAGAGAGGAGGGGGAAGCTGTAGCAAATAAATACTTTTTGTGGCTTCATTTTCTTGCCATGGTGTAACAACAGCTGAAACTGATGTTATTGTTATTGTGATGCTAAGAATTACCTTCATGATCAGTTCTGGGAGATGCTATGTAACCGATTAGTTCTCTTGCTGTTCTTTATATGTGTTTAGTGAATGAAACCTATCCTTGTGTTTTTTGATTTAGAAGAGGAACTGATATAGATGGAATATTAATTGGTTGTTCACTTTTTCTTTTTGAGAAGTCTTATTTTTCATTTTCTAATTAATTTTGGACATAAAATACACTGACATGGTGGACCACTCTTTTTACAGTTTTAAGATGCTACAATTTGTTGTATCTAATGCTTGTTATGATCTTATAGAGGAACTCCCGGATGATTGGAAAGATGCTCCGGATATAAAGTCATTACGCACTTTGGATCGCTCCTTTGTTTTTCCTGGTAACTATCTCTGTGTTTCCCCCTTCTTTCAGTGTTAAATTACTTGGATTGCTGCTCAGTTTAGAAGATATTGCATTTTTCAGAAGAGAGATCTGAATTTATTTTCTCATCAAGGCGAACAGGTTCATATCTTGGCATGCTTAGCAGCATGTAAGCAGGATGCAGAAATTATAACTCCATTTAAAGTTGCTGCTTTGATGAGTAAAAATGGCATAGGGAAAAGTCCAGAGAAACAAAATGGAAGCACAGAAGATGGGAAAGGAGAAATGAGTCCTGGTGGTCAAAATATAGATAAGAATGCTGAAATTCTATTAAACGTTGATCTAAAAAAGGATGTTTCTGCTGGTGAATCACTTTTTAGAATGGAAGACCACAAAAGACAGACTGAAATGCTATTACAAAGATTTGAGAAGTCCCATTATTTTGTTAGAATTGCTGAATCAACTGAACCACTTTGGTCAAAAAAGAGTGCTCCTAATCCGTCTTCAGAATCTTCAGACGCTCATGAGATGGATGGTCAAAACTCTATTCCGAATGGAACCCAGAAAACTGCAAAAGATGCTTCTTGCTTTAATGCAGTTATTGATAAAGGAATTTTTGATCCTACTATCTCTGGTGGGGCAGCAAGAAACACTGTGAAATGCTGCTCTCTTCCTAATGGAGACATAGTGGTATGTGTTATTAAACTTCTAGGATTTTGGGAAGAATTTATTGTACTAAGCTATTTAAGTATTTTGGAAGTTTGATGGCTGAACTTTTGTCCCTCTAAAAATCAAATTCTTGGTATCATTGTGAATCGTGACTTTGACATGAGAATAGTAGTGGAGTGTTCTTAGTTAAACTGCAAGGAGTTCATGTCCAAGTGCAATGCTTTTTTATTTATTATTCATTGCTGTATTTTATCTTATAGCTTGTCTTTTTGATACTTGTCACTTTCAATGCTTATATGCATTTCTAGTATGGCTGAGTTAACCATTTGTTCTGACCTCTGATTCTCATTCCATTTTCTTGTTTGGAAGGATGCAGGTGCTTTTACAAGTGAATGTTGGTGTTGATGTTTTGAATGACCCCATCATTGAAATTCTTCAATTTGAGAAATACCATGAGAGAAATTTGGGTTCTGAGAACCAGAGGAATGTAGCATTTACAGATCAGGACCCATGTGGAGAACTGTTAAAATGGTTACTTCCGTTAGATAACACACTTCCTCCTCCAGCTCGCCCCTTATCTCCTCCCTTAGGTTCCACTTCTGGATTTGGAAACACATCGCAAAAGTCCAATTTCACTTCCTCATCCGGTTCTCAGCTTTTCTCTTTTGGCCATTTTAGAAGCTACTCCATGTCATCACTTCCCCAAAACAATACACCACCTCCTGCATCTGTTAAAGCTATCAGCTCTAAGCCGAGCTTTGAGCTTGAAGGTTGGGATCAATATTCATCTCAAAAGCTTTGGAAGAGTCAGAAAACTGGTTCTGAAGCGCTTTTGTCTTTCAGAGGCGTGTCATTGGAGCGAGAAAGGTTTTCTGTTTGTTGCGGATTAGAAGGCATCTATATGCCAGGAAGAAGGTGGAGGAGAAAGCTGGAAATTATACAACCTGTAGAAATTCATTCTTTTGCTGCTGACTGCAATACAGATGACCTGCTCTGTGTCCAGATAAAGGTGTGTACTATGCTCTCGACCAAGTCAATTGTTTAATAGACCTAATTGTGTCTTGAATCGGTATTATACGTATCACTATTTTTAGTTGATGTAGTTGTTAAATATTGACTTTTGGTTTCTATCTCCAAATTTCACTTCTAAGTTATTGAGTTCTATCTGCAGAATGTTTCTCCAGCACACACACCAGATATTGTGGTTTATATAGATGCTATAACAATTGTTTTTGAGGAGGCTTCGAAAGGCGGACAACCTTTATCACTTCCAATTGCATGTATTGAAGCAGGAATCGACCATAGTTTGCCAAATCTAGTCCTCAGGTTGTTGTTAATTCTGGATATCTTACTTTACTTTGTAACGCGCCCCCCTGCAAGCAATCTACTAGGGTAAATAGTAGAGCAGAGACGCAATGCCTCCTTTAGAATGGGACGAGCGTTGGGACCTCTAATTTGATTAGGTGTTTACATTCTTTTCCCACTTTTTTATAAGCTAAGATGAGAAGTGAATTGTTTTAGAAGAAAGGAGGAACCTAAAGGAGTAATTTGCATGAGCAATTATTTTCTTGTTCAGTGAAACTGACGGATTCACAAGTTCGTTTTGATCTCATTGTAAATTCTTGTGGCAGGAGGGGTGAAGAGCATTCTTTTATTCTTAAACCAGCAACATCTTTGTGGAAAAACGTGAAGGCTACTGGTGAAAAAAGTACTCGATCACACTTACCCGCTGTAAATGCTGCGTCAAGTTTACGTCTTCCCCCGACTGTTGAAGGAAAGAGTGTTTCCTCTGCTGGTCAATATTCTATTATGGTATCATGCCGGTGCAATTATACTGGTAATGTATTCTACTAAAAGTTAACTCATTATTGGATTTCTTCAGCAGTTCTCTTTGCTTAATGTTTTTCTGTTATTGTTTGTGTCCTATAGAATCAAGATTATTTTTCAAGCAGCCAACAAGTTGGAGACCTCGTATCTCAAGGGATCTTATGATCTCTGTTGCATCTGAAATATCTGGACAACATGGGGCCAATGGAGGTGTTTATCAACTTCCTGTTCAGGTTAAAAGATCTTTTTTGTTGCACGTGCGTTTTTCCTTCATCACGTGCTTACGCTTTTACAAATTAGTTTTAACATATGTTTGGTGCAATTTTTAGGTGTTAACACTTCAGGCTTCGAATTTGACATCCGAAGATCTAACTTTGACGGTTCTTGCCCCAGCTTCTTTTACTTCACCTCCCTCTGTGGTCTCATTAAATTCTTCACCCACTTCACCTATGAGTCCCTTCGTTGGTTTTGCCGAGTTCACAGGAAGCATAAGCGGGGACAAGCGTTCCTCTGCAATTCACAGGCTAAACTCGGCACCTGTTTCATCTGGAAATCAGAAACAGAATGGTAACGGTGGAGCTCGATCGGTTTCCTTTACCGAGCAGGGTTCTTCCATATCTGATGTCATTCCAAGTAGTGGTTTGGGTTGCACACACCTGTGGCTACAGAGTAGAGTTCCGTTGGGGTAATTTACTATTTTCTTTTCATCTTTTCTTATCTGTGGTTATGGTCCTACGGACTTGTGTCAAATATATAACAATTTGCTATGGTCACATCAGATGCGTTCCCTCTCATTCTGCGGCGACCATCAAGCTTGAGCTACTTCCATTGACAGATGGCATAATCACACTGGACACTTTACAAATTGATGTCAAGGAAAAAGGTACCGTCTCTTCATATTCCTGGTTGGTTTCTTTATAACGTGCATGCTTGGCCATCATCTCCATAGAATAAAATAAAGGCCACGTAGGCTAATCATTGACATATCAATATGCCAAGGATCTTGTTCAACTGTTTAAATTGCATTTGCAGCCTAGGTTGCCTTTTATACTACTAACACATGAAGCTTCTTCCTTGAGCTTTGATATATATATATATATATATATATATATATATTATAATTTTTTTTGGAAAGGACCTCGAGCTTTGTTTTTTATTTATTGTGTTGCATCTAATTTTAGGTGGTTGTTATATGATTGAACTTGTATTATTATCTAGAAATAGGTTGTACAGGGTACATGATTTGACAGGACTAAAGCATTTATTAGGGTTAATGGATTTTATGGCACTTAAAAAAGGAAAAGTATTTCAAGTATCTCACTAGTTTTTTATTATTTCTGTTGTGCCAATGTCTTCTAGTATTAATAATCATCACCAACGTGATAGTGCATTTTATAATTACTGACTTTTGGTAATTCTGACACGGAAGTAATAGAGAGAAAAACAAAAAAAAAAAACCCAAAACCAGTGCTATTTTACAATACTTTTTTTTTATTAGTGACATAAAAAACATTAACCCTTTATTCTCTGTATCCTCGTGCCACTTGAGATAGTCTCAAGTGGTTGGATGCGTGAGTGTGTATCTAAGATTCAAAGTTCGAACCTTGTTAGTATAGCGGGAGTCATAGGCTCACACCGTAAAAAATTTCTTCGTATCCTCGAGATATATTTGCATTTTTCTGATCAGCTACAAAGATAAGTAATCTGAAGTTTCACTTTTGGCAGGTCTAACATATATCCCTGAGCACTCACTAAAGATAAATGCAACTTCCAGCATTTCCACGGCAATTGTTTAAGACGGATCAATTCAAAACATTTTTTATTTTACCGCACTTGAACTATGGAAGAAACTTCAAGTATGATTCATTTTGTCGCCCAGGATTTCGCTCTTGGCAACACGCACCAAAGTATTATTTCCTTCGTATCAAGCAGAATTTGAAATTGACATTAAGATATTATTAGCCTCAGATTTTGTATTGTAAGTGTTGTGTTTGTTCCCCTTTAGTGGGGAAGAACTTGTATTGTTTGTAGATGAATCCCCGTGTGTGAATATAGTCATTTAATTTAATACTCAAAAGAAGAGAAAAATACTGTCTTTCTTATGATTTGTACGGAGTTGATTCAACCTCTTTTTTTTCAACACTACGTACCTAAAATATAAAACATTTACTTCTTTTGTCTGTTTGTCGGATTTCCCGTTGGAATAATGCTATATATCTATTCTTGTACCAATTTTTTTTTTATAACCGACTAGTGTGGAAAGCAAGTTCTCATAATAATATTCTATTAACAAAACTCAAAAAAAGAAAAAGAAAAAAAAAAAAAGACCACCCAATGGAAGCATGTAATTCTTCCCTTCAGCCAGATTTGTCACCATGGAGTCCATTTCTGGACATCTGGGTGTTATGATTTCCATTTTGATGGGGAAATCATGCAATTTATATGATTTAGGTTTATGTGTCAAAGAAAATGTTCAGGGCATCAATAGTGTTAAACATCACCGTTTTATAAGGTGAGTCTTTTATTAGTCCGTGGTGTTGAGCACCGTTGAGGTCAATGTTTATGATGATTCTATCTAGGTGCTGCTTCAGTGCTTGGTGCTAACACATGTGGGAAAGTCAAACATTGTGAATGACCAATCTATTGTGTAGGCTTGGGCATGAGGTATTGAGAATTTTGTTACCAATAGCTGTAAATCAATCAAGTCTTCCAGTGTGATGACTATGTCAAGCTTGCTTTGATAATTAATTCATTAAAGAGTCTCAGCCTCATGGATGGGGTCAAATTCTGATAATGCCTTTGTTGTGTGTGTGTGTGTGTGTGTTTTTTTCCCCCCTTGAAAAAAGGAATTCTGATCATGAGTTGCCCTTTGATAAGGGTTTATCTCTTATCAATCATCATTATTATTATTATTTTATTATTATTTTCAATTTATGGTTATCTGATTGACAAAAGATTTAAGAGTGCATTTAATTACTCTAACATTTTTCTATCAATAGTATCATTATTTTTAACTATAAAATATTAATTTAATGGTTGTAATAAATTTGATAATTAACTAAAAAAATTTATAATAATTAATAAAAATTAATTCTCATCACTTCACATAATTAAATTTTTACATTTAATAAATAACTACGATTGAAACGTAACTATAAAAAACTCGTCTATTTATATAGTTGTGTGTGTGTTTTTTCCCCCCTTGGAAAAATAAATTCTGATCACGAGTTGCCCTTTGGTAAGGATTCTATCTCTTATCAATCATTATTATTATTATTATTTTTTTTAATTTATGATTATCTGAAACGATATTTATAAGCATCATTGACAAAAGATTTAAGAGTGCATTTAATTACTCTAACATTTTTCTATCAATAGTATCATTATTTTAATTATAAAATATTAATTTAATGGTTGTAATAAATTTGATAACTAACTAAAAAAATTTATAATAATTAATAAAAATTAATTCTCATCACTTCACATAATTAAATTTTTACATTTAATAAATAATTGAAACGTAATTATTAAAAACTCGTCTATTTATATAGTTATATTCAGAGTACAAGCTTTTGTTGCTGGGAATAAAATATCAGAGAGTAAACTAGCACATTTTTTTAGTCGAATTAGTTTGGAAAGAGCATATTATGATATCTCAATAAATATGTAAATTAATAGGCATGATTAATTGGCATAATGGAAGTCAATTCTTTTGTGTTGCACGCTGCCACTTAAAAAGTCAAATGTGGTTACTTATGCTAACAAACTAGCACTTAAATAAATACTTCTTGTGATATTCATTCAATGTGCTTGTTTGTTTTTGTTGATTCTTATTGGATCAATATCTTTATCAGTGCATTTCCTCAAAAAAAAAAAAAAAAAACATAAATAAATAAAGCTTCAACAGTCAGCAGTTTTTTTTTTTTTTTTTTTTTTTTTTAATTAAGCTTCAGCAGTGTTCGTTATCTGAAATTTGTACCTTTATTTCAAAAAATAAAATAAAAAGAAGTAGCCGTGACTTTAACAGCAACCATCAAACTGTGCTAGTAACAATAAGGGATTGTTTTTTTGGAGTATAATTTAGGCCCGTTCACTTTACCGATTCGAGTTTAGAATTCGAGTTTTACTACAGTAAAAAGCTCTCAGAAACAGTCACATCTAACTTTTTTACAACAGTAAAAAGCTCTCACATAAAATTACATCTCAACTCAAATTCTAAACTCGAATCAGCGAAACGAACGAGGCTAAGTGTAGTTTTTGAGTTATAATTTGAGTTGAAGTTATAATTTAAATAAAGTTAAGTAAAGTTGAATAAAATTAAAACTTAAAAGAACATGAACTTGAATAAAGTTAGAACTCGAGTTGTCTTTTTTTGAGTTTTTTAGATAAAAGAACAACCCCCTAAGATACCCAATAGAAGTTTGACAATTAATGCCTCGTTCACTTTGCGGATTCGAGTTTTTAATTCGAACTGAGATGCGACATTTTCTGAGAGTTTTTCACTATAACAGAAAAAGTTGATGTGACATTTTTTTAGAGTTTTATACTGTTAAAACCTAAAACTGAAAACTCAAATCGGTGAAATGAACGAGTTAAGTCTTAAATTTTTTTTTTTTTCAGAAAATAAAACTTAGAAAACGAATCACACATTATGATGAAATTATTGCTGTATATGCTCGTATAGGTTACAAAATCACCTACAATCTTGTGTGTACGACATTCATCATCATAAATTTTTGTAAGAATGACTCAAAAACAAAATTGTCCCCTTCTTTTTATAATTCTTTTTCTCCTTTTTGCTGCAAGTTTCTTTTTGGGATTTTTTTTTTTTTTTTTATCAGCTTCTTTTTGGGATGTTATTGTATCAACATGATTTCATTTTTTTTTTCCGAGTAAAGCATCCACAATGATTCCATAACATTATTATAAATCTTAAAAAGCCTCACAAATTTTCCAATAGCCAATTACAAACTTTTGCACCTAATCACTATTAACTCTTCCGACAAAAAAATAGTGGCAGTAAATACCACATACATAACGGAAAGCACAGCTATTTTTCCATTAAACAAGAATTATAGAAAGCTCCTCAATAATAAGGGCGTTTTGCAGTAGGATCCTATATCGGCAGTTCGCGGATGTGATTTTATATGAAAATTTTTTATTATAATAAAAAATAATTTTTTATTATAGTAAAATTTAAATTTTAAACTCGAATCGATAAAATGAATGGGGCTTAAAGTTACATTTGGTATGAGAATTCTAGAATCAGAATCATGATTCTCATTCAAACATTTATTTATTTGTAAAAAGTAAAAAATGATTATTGAAAACTAGTATTTAATTTGGATGGTTATAGTTTAAAGTTTGAATCTTGATGTGATGTTTTAAATTAGAACCATCCAAAAAAATAAAACCACTTTCCTCTTAATTTTAGATGGTACAAATCTTTAGTGCTTATTACGGTTCCAGAACTATAATTAGACTCCAAGTTCAAACTATAAATCATAATTTTAGTTTTAAAACTAAAACAATCTTAATTTGAACTTTCATATCAAAGGCATATGATTAAAGGCACATAAAATTTTAAAAATATACATAATAAATAATTTTTATTAGATGGTTTAAAAATAAAAAAGGACTGCGTTTTTTCATTATACAAACCTAAGTGGAGTTTCTGGAAAAAAAAAAAAGAAAGCAACTTAAGTGGAGATTTATTATGGTAATTATCAATGAATTAATTAGAGAAATGAAGGGGAAAAAAAATACAAATAGAGAATGCATGTACAGCGTTTCGAGAGGACAGCATGGATGATATCAATCTGACGCGCGCGTTAGCCTCCGCCCACCCAAGCTACACACGTCACCATCGGAGTGGGTCCCGCCCTTATTTCTCTCTCCTGCCCGAACTGCCCCATTTTTCATCGTGTTTTTCCCACGAGAACTCCTGTAGATTCCCGCTAGTTTAAAGATCTATTTTAGTTCGCCGATTGAAAATTTTAATTTAAAATATAATTTTATATAAATTTTTTAATTGTAATAAAAAATTAAATGTGATTATTTTTTAAAATTTTTTATTATAATAAAAATTAAATTTTAAATTTAAATCGGTAAAATAAATAATACTTAAAACTCGTTATTCATAAAAAGTGTATTTCGTTAAATTAGTTAATGAAATTTAGGTAAAATTTAATTCATAAATTTAAAATTTTAATTCATGATTTTAATTTTTAAATTTAAAATTTTTCATAAAAAAATACTATAATAAAATTAAAAATCATAACCTTAAATTAAATAAATGTCTTAAAACAAACTTCATCTTGATTTAATGGATTTATTATTTCGTAAGTAGTGGGATTTTATGCCAACAAGTACATGCCTTTTTTGTTTTTCTAAATCCCTCTCTCTCGCTGCCCGATGTGCCCACCTCGCCTTTCTCATTAGACGACCCACTTCAAAGGCCTAGCCTACGCTCGTACCCATACGGGCACCCGGGCAGCTCATTCCCTCCTGCCCGTTTTCTCCGGGCAGCTCCATTGGCCTTTTTCCGTAGTCTTCGATTCCAATTAAAAAAACAAAAAAAACAAAAAAAAAAGAAAGAGAGAGATTAAAAGAGAATCGATAATTCGCACCATTATTATATGTCGTGTATATATATGCATATAATATGTAGATATATATTCTTTTTCAAATTAATTATTTACCCATCTTAAACTGGTCAGCTAGTGAGAGAGCCCATTTTCTGAGATTTCTGTATTTGAGCAGACATTTCTGGTCCAACTTCAATTCGGTGCATTATTTCTGTTAAATCCGGTACTTTCTGCTCAAGGATTTTGGTTTTCTTTTTTCTTCTCACCATTTTTTCTTATCAAATTGATGAACGCTTTTTTTCATTATTCTTTTGGGGTCAAGTTTGATCTACTTTGCGTGATCTAGTTCTTCTCTCAACTGGGGTTTGCCTTTTATAAAGAATTTTTTTTTCGGTTTTTTTGTTTGTTCTTTGAGCTTGATCTTTCTGGGTTTTTGGAGGAAAATCCTTGAATTTCTGTGCTATCTCTCTCTCTCTCTCTCTCATGGGGTGTGAGAGAACATGAGGTTGATTGGGTGTGGTGGGCAAGTGGGTATTTGGGGATTTTGATGGTTATCTTTATCTGGGTTTGATTAAATTAGGGTTTTGGTGAGATGGGAGTTGGTGCAGAGAATGGAAAGGTGGAGTCTTGGGATTTGTATAAATCAAAAGGAGGAAGGAAGAAGAAGAAGAAAGTTGAGGAAGCTGAGGAAGATGAAGAAGAAACTGGGTGTTGGGTTAGGCTCAGGTTTATTGGAAGCTGCATTTCTTCAAGATCCAAAGTTGATAGCTCAATCAGTGGCACAAGCACCCACTATGGTAATTTTCTTTCTTTTCTATTTTATTTTTCTCTGTCCAAAGTTATGTTTTTTCATGGGTTGTTTTTTGTTTATGGTTCTACTAGTTGTGTTTCATGTTTGATTTTTAGTAAAACTATTGCCTTGGAGTTCTATAGTGTATCTGTTTTAGCTCGAGTCTTGTGATAATTTTTTTTAAGCATTATAATTTATGGTTGACAGGCAATTTTTGGCTTGATTTTTTTTTTTTGGTAATAGTGGAAAGAAAGTTTTCCTTTTCACTCGCGATTATTTGTATGAAAGCTTGGATTGTCCCTAAAAAGAAATTAAGAAACATCTCTCAAAACGAAGATGAAAAATACAACTTCAAGATAATTGTTTGACCGTATATTCTATGCCATAAATTGCGAATCTCACTGTGCTGAAGGGAAGGAAATGGAAATACACAACATAATGTTTGACCAATTTGTTCTGTTTGACAACAGTGAGCAGGATGGTGAAACAAGTTAGTTGAAACAGCCAAAACCAAACGTGTAATTGTTGGGCTTGATATTTTTGAGTCTCAATTTGAAATCACTGATGCTAGTTTTGGGGAAGAATTAGGTTCACTAATTGGCTTAGAGCTTGTGACAAGTGGGTGATTGAGGCAGATTGTTAGAAATTGTGGCAGATTGTTAGAAATTGTGGCCACGAGTCAAAATATTCGTTCGATAGAGGAAATTTTGTGTTTGTCTCATAGAGGTTTGTGTCCATATTTGGTTAGAAGTTAAAGTGTACAATTTCATGAATATAGGCTGTTGGTTGGTTATACGAATATGTAAAAAGTAACTGTAAATATGTGCCTATTTTAGCTATAACTAAGTCATTTCAGTTAGTGTTTTGATTTCTGTGTAACATGACGTTGTAGCATAGTTAATTTTTATTTTCTTAATTATGATACTATGTACATCATAATTTTGTCACCCGTGGAAGTTGGACTTTTATCTTTGCACCATGTCATCAAATTGTAAACATGTATATATGTTTTCTTGTATCCTCTTGTGAACCAAATTTTCTTGTTTACTTAAAACCTAAATAAATTGGTTACTGCAGCATGCTCAATTTGATGGTTGATGTAGAACCAGGTTAATTCTACTCTTATCAAGTTATATTAAAAATTTTTGTTCTCTGAATGAATTTATAGAAAAGGCAAATGATACAAGCAGAGACCAACCAACAGCTGCAATTGTCTCATCCACAACCACTAGTAATGCGGAGAGTAATTCTTCAACATCCAAACTCGAAGAGGAACTTAAAGTTGCTTCTCGACTCCGAAAGTTCACGTTTAATGATCTCAAGTTGGCAACTCGAAACTTTAGACCCGAGAGTCTTCTTGGCGAAGGTGGTTTTGGTTGCGTGTTCAAGGGGTGGATTGAAGAAAATGGAACTGCTCCGGTAAAACCAGGAACAGGGCTTACAGTTGCAGTTAAAACTCTCAACCACGATGGGCTTCAGGGTCATAAAGAATGGCTGGTTTGTAATTCTCCTTATTTGTTTTACTTCCTGTAGGATTTTTTTTCCCCACCATCTTTAAATTTTCTTGAAGTTTTCTTTTCATCATCTTTGGTTTTTATTCTTTTTTTGTTGGATGCGACAGGCTGAGGTGAATTTCCTTGGTGACCTTGTTCACCCCAACTTAGTTAAACTTATAGGATATTGCATTGAGGATGATCAAAGGCTGCTAGTCTATGAGTTTATGCCTCGAGGAAGCTTGGAGAACCATCTCTTTAGGAGTATGTTACTTCCATTCTTACAAGTTTCCCAATTTTGATTCATCAATCCTTTCAGGGATTTTGACTTCTTATGCTAAAGAGTTTCGGATAGTACCACGTTAATTCATTGTTTCTTTCCTTGGATTATTACCACTATTCCTCGCCTGTTATATATTGCAAAAGTTTCATAAATTTGATTTTGATGTGGAACAGTAATGTGTATCTCTGAGTAATTTGACCGTGGTGGCCTATACATATAGACAGTTTACATGCACAATGGCATTGTGTCCACCGTAATTTTCTGCAGTACGCTTTCATAAATACGTGCTGCAGACTTTAGAGTACCCTCGAATATTGCTAAATGCTTTTTTGATTTTATTATTGTTTCCTGACGCTCTGTACTGAATTATGCTTTTTCAGGGTCCTTGCCTCTTCCATGGTCTATTAGGATGAAAATTGCATTAGGTGCTGCTAAGGGTCTTGCCTTCCTCCATGAGGAAGCAGAAAGACCTGTTATATATCGCGACTTCAAAACCTCCAACATCTTATTGGATGCAGTATGTGACAGTTTTTGACAAAAATCAGATATTTTCCATTGTATTCTCTTTTATCTTGGAAGTGGGGACCATTGTATCTTTTATCCCTCTAACAAGTGTTATTTCAGGATTATAATGCCAAACTTTCTGATTTTGGACTTGCCAAAGATGGTCCTGAAGGTGATAAAACCCACGTGTCAACTCGTGTCATGGGAACTTATGGTTATGCAGCCCCAGAATACGTAATGACTGGTAAATGTGGAAATTTTTATATATTTTTTATGCCTTCTACCTTCCCTTGTAAATTTTCTGCTATGCAGTTTCCACTTCTCTATGCTTTTATGCATGAGTAGGGTGGCTAACTGCCCATAGTATGTTTTATGATACTGTTCGCCATTGTTAGAATGCTGATCTTGCATATATTTTCCGTTAGTCTTTGAATTGCCTGGAAGCTTGTAAGGCACTGCTATTTTATGGATTTTATACTAGTTCCTTCTTTCTCCGTTTTTTTTTTTTTTTTTTAATTTGTGTTTAACAATAGAAATATGAATAGGAGGCTCATGAATTCCTGATAATTAGTAATTCATGAATAACAAGTTCTTCATCTCACTGAGTGGCTTAGATTGTTTTGTAATACCTATTGCAGTGTTTCGTTTTCCTTATATTGTGTTGGCCACGGGTCATAATGCTTTTTATGTCTATTTGCGTATGGTTAAGAGTGTTTTATTTTTATGGCAGGACATCTTACATCAAGGAGTGATGTCTATAGTTTTGGCGTGGTCTTACTGGAAATGTTGACTGGCAGAAGATCGATGGACAAAAACCGACCTAATGGTGAACATAACCTAGTAGAATGGGCTCGGCCACATCTAGGGGAGAGAAGAAAATTCTACAAATTGATAGACCCTCGGCTCGAAGGCCACTTTTCAATAAAGGGTGCTCAAAAAGCTGCACAGCTAGCAGCTCATTGCCTTTGTAGGGATCCGAAAGCCAGGCCCTTAATGAGCGAAGTCGTTGAGGCCTTGAAGCCACTGCCGAACCTCAAGGACATGGCAAGCTCTTCGTACTATTTCCAGACGATGCACGCAGACCGCGTCGCGTCCAGCCCCAATGCGCGAAATGGCGTCAGAACACAAGGAGGATTGATGTTGAGGAACGGGCAGCAGGTAAGGAGTCTTTCAATACCAAATGGTACCCATGCTTCTCCATATCACCATCAGTTTCCCCAGCAATCGCCAAAACCTAATGGCAAAGCGTAGGGTTGAGTTGGCAGCAATCATTTCTTTTCTTTTCTTTTTCTTTTTTTTTTTCTTTTTTTTTTTTTCCGCCCCTGTTCCTCGGTATAGATGTATCTTCTGTTAAAGCATTTGTTCTTGAACAACCGGAGAAAAAAAGGCAACAGAAAAACAAGTTTGCTTGATGTTGTGTTTTAGAGTGATGACGTAGAGAATGTAAAGGGTGGGAGAGAAGCTTCTTGAGCAAAGTTTCTATTATGCCATGTTGTTTGGAAGCATTTAAAGAAAGATTGTTACTCCCCACTTTTCCTTGTATCATTTTCCTCTTATTCCTTGATCAATACAAGTCCTTGTTTCATATTCAAGCAACAAGAGTAGGGCTTCTTCCATTTAAAATTTCCTACTGTTGTTGGCAATGCTGGTATAGTTATTATCATTAACTTCTAATTTGGCCAACAAACCAAACTGCTTTTCAACTAAGTTAATTAGATAAAATAAAAAAGAAGAGAAAAAAAAAAATCCTTTTTTTTTAAAATTTTTTGTTTTCCTATAAAGGGAAAACTCCCACTTTCAGAGAAGCTAATATTGGCATGTTGGACTTGGAACAACACATTATAATTGTCTTTTCCTCTAAAAAGAATAGGCGGAAAAACTAAAAAACCATGTGTCAAAAAGTTGCTGGGCTGGTTTATAGTGCTCCTCGCCGACCAATGTGAAGTAGTAGATCAATTCAAAAGGAAGGAAAAAAAATAATTTAATAAATTATAAAAAGGAATATAATATGATTACCCTTCTTAAGAGACAAAAAAATGGTCATAAATAAAGGATACATACACAAAGAAAAAAATAAACGACAACAGAAAGCAAACAGCTTAAGGGAATAGAGAGTGAGGGACAAATAAGTAAAATAAAACGTGGATTTGTGTGTCGAGACTTGAGAGTGCAAGGCTAAGAAAAATTGCAATAGAAACAAGAACAAAAAGAGGGAAAAGTGTGAAAAGTGGTATGGACATTGTTCTTTGTGATGTTTAAGCCATTTTGAAATGATGAGAAAAAGTGACATTAAAGCTGTTCTTTCCTGGTGTTGTTTAGCCATTTATTATATGAGAAAAGGGTGTTATAATTTAATATTGACGTTACTTTTTTTTTTTTTTTTTTTTTTGCTGAATTAATATTGACGTTCTTTGCTAGTGATGCTTACCCGTATATAATTTTCAAATAATTAAAAAAAAGGTAAAGGAAAGAGACTCCCAGATGGTTGGATCATAATCATCTAGCAACATAGCAAGAATTTATTTATTTATATTTCCCTTTGAATAAAAATGAACACAAATAAGTAAATAACATTATCAGTTATCCGCATCTTCCGCCACGTCACCTACAACTCAACTGGTTGGCAGTGAATAGTGACACCATCACCCTCGATGCCAAATCTTTCCCTTTATCAATTGTGATTAAATATTGTATTAATAAAATAAAAAGGTAAGTCAAATTTTTTTAATCGTTGAATCTGTATATTTTTTAATTTTCATGTAATTTTATACATATCTGATAGACATAAAATTTAACCTATCATATGTTGACGTACCGAAAAAGATACCTGAAAAAATTATTAGTTATTTATTTTCTTTAATTAATAAGGAAACCGGCCTTATCTTAGTTTATTTATCATTGTATCATTGTATTTGAATATTTTGCAATAGTAATCTCACAAGGATGCCTATGAATAAAACTATATTAATCTTAAGCAGTTGTATTTTAATGCTTGCTTACTATCACATATGTGACAACCTCATCCTCAAGATGAATAACATCAATGTCTCAATCAATAGTGTGATTTAAAAAAAGTAATATATAAAAGCACTTTTGTGTGCATATTTTCCTGAAATAATACTTATATAAAAGCACTTTTGTGTGCATATTTCCTGAAATAATACTTGAATCAAAATTGGGGTCAAATATTGCTGCGGCCGGCTGAGATAACCCATTGGATCACGCTTTCTAACAAGTTCTTATTATTCTTAATCTCATCCTTCTTTCTTTTTTGGTTAAAATTCCCTTCTAAGAATAAGAAAAGCACTAACTCATATGATTCAAAAGTAGTAATTAACTTGGCCTTAAAGTATAAGCAACCATTCTATTCCACAAAGCCTGCCTTCTTTTATTAAGTAGTAACTCGCGTGCATGCTTCAACCACTTGAATTGTAGGGCACATATTACACCACTTTACTAGGCTTATCATTTTCATTCTTGCTTCCTCATAGAATGTTTTTTTTTTTTTTCCCTCGTAAGGACAACCTCTTGTCTCTTGACATCGCCAAGAGTGAATCCTTTTCATTATGTTCTATTTAGTATGCAGTTTATGCAGCTTTTCTGGTTAGCTGCTCTTTGTATGTGCTCTCAAAGATCTTGTCAGCATTTCCGACCTCAAATCCGTCTCGCCTATGGTGTTCTTTAACCTGAGCAATTTGATGATATGAGTTGTAAATGAAGCAGCAAAGATATATATATATATATATTAAAAAAGCAATTAATAAGTTGGAAGATATGTAGAGATGCAGAATGAACCTTAACCCTTTTTGGTTTTCACCAATTACTAAATGTCGAACGTAAAGATTAATTACCTCCTTTTCAGGTAGATTATTGAACTGAGGCAGCACCAAGCGCTCAGCAAACTCAATATAGGAACAGGGGACTGATTCAGTCGTGCCATCCGAAAATGTGAAAGAAGTTGAGTCTGCAACGGTTGAGCTTTGCAACAGAAGACCATCAGGGCTCACTGGTATCGAAAGATTTGAACGTTAGTGTTTAGTCATAATAATCATTAATAAGCATGTATATCTCTATTGAAATCTAACAATACAACCTTTCAGAATCCCGCCTTCAGAATTTAACTTAAATCCGTTCTCTTCGATGAACTGATCGAGACTTTTGATGTTTCTTAAGTGGGATTTCAGCTGGTGAGCAGATATTGTGACATGGTTTAGTGCATATCCATTGACAAGGGTCCAGGCAGCATATTCACTTTCCCTGTGTTCACAAACCAAGCACATGCCTTTAAATTCGAGATTGAAGTCTTAAAAAGGTCTCCCAGAGTTGGTCAGTAAACCTAGGTTCCTCACCAATTAAAACAACATAATGACAATACTTATGTGAAAATAATACGCGAATGAAATTAAGTACCTGGCCAATTGTTGAAACTCGGAATAGAGTGGCTTTTCCCAAGTCAGAGATCCTAGTGCACTTGCTAGAGCAGCATGCTTATTTGCAGTACCAGATAATCCAGTGTATTTTGTGATTATACGCTGAATGTTTATGAGAATAGTTTCAAGCAATAGAAGGAAATAAAAAGAAAACTGGTAAAGAGACAAGAAAAGGAGGAAATTTTAACAAGAAAGCTGCGTTTAGATGGTAATATAAAATCAAAATGTGTAACTACAAAGTTTCATTCATCTAAAACAGAACACAAGTCGTGAAACCAAGTTAAATTAAGGAAAGAAATTGCATGACATTCTCTTGGTTGACAAAGAGCCTAGCACATACCTGGGCTTCTGGACTCATTTGATCAACAAGAAGCTCGGATATAAATACTCGAGGCAACGGTCCACTAATACCACTACCGTCCTCAGTAATGGCATTTTTGGGAGGAGAGAACCACAGAGCTTTTAATTTTTTAGCAGGAAATCTCAACTCATCCCTCAGCGTATAGCCAAAATCCAGGAAAAAGCTAGCCAAGGAGTCAATCCCATAACCATTCACCTAGAATTCCAAATGCCAAAAGAACTTCTACTGTTCAATATATAGTACACATTCCCAATGCCAGGATAAAATTCGCATACATATAAAGCTCAAAGATATGTTCTTAATTTCTCTTCTGTAGTTACCGAACAAATGTTGTAAATGCAAATGATAGTTAACTGTTGAACAAAAACAATGGTGAAAAGCTGAATACCCCAAACGTTCTAAAGGCAAAATGATCATAGCAAATTCGACCATGCTCGGCGGAATGAACAAGCTCCAAGATGGCTTTTGCTGTGGGGTTCCTATTTAAGTACACTGTCTCCATACTCGCCAAGACACTTCTGAAAAATGATTCAGCTCCCTGCAACAGACACAAAGATGACTCCAACAACCCGAAAAAACCAACACAGACACATAACCAAGTACACAATAGACAATGTGGCAAAAAGTTACTAGCATACACTCAATTCTTCCAAAAAGTACAAAAATTTTGAACGAGTATTTCAAACTTTTGGGGTGCAATGCTTGTCATTCAAACACTTTATGTACCGAAATCCTCTCATACATTAGCCGGGCCAGCAATGGGACAACCAGGCTATAGTTGTCAGCAAGCAAGGGAAGAGCAAATGCCATACAATACTACTTAACAGGGTTCGTCTTCAATCCTTCTCTGCCCGATCCTACACTGTAACTTGTGTGAAAATGGAACGTGTAACATAACATTTGTTCTGTATAACAACGACTTCAAAAAGGTGCAACATCAGTTTACAATAGATAATTTTTTTGTTACATTTTTGCAAAGTTATTGTTATATAAAATAAATATCATGTCAGTGTAGGATCGTTCTTTGTGTCATACACCAATATGAGCAGCGGCGGAGTCAACTTTTTACTTCAGTAAGGGTGTACACTAAATTTTTTTAATAAATTATCTTAGTGATGACATATAAGAAAATATATTTATTTTAATAGGAGCATATATTATTTCAGTGAGAATTTAAATGTAAAATTTTTAAATTTTTAAAAATAATATTTTTTTTTTCAAAAAAATTTGAGTGGGGCCCACTCAGGCCCTTGCAGCTCCGCAGTTATGTGAGAATCTCTGATCAGTTTTAAAAAACAGGAGTGACCATGAATTGAGCCTTGTTCACAAGTAAACCTCAATCCCAACCCAACTACAACTTTCCTAACAGATTAATAGCAACACCAAATTAGAGAGACATGCAAACCCATTTGCCGTCTGGATTCAAGTAGGCGTTACACGCATGGACATTCAATTTATCATCAATCAAGTAATTAAAAGATTAATCAAAGAACAAAACTTTGTAATCAATCCAAGAAAAAGAAAATAGAATATTCCATTCCAATCCTACCCAAAAAACGGGCTCCACAGTAATTTAGACGCTACGAGTATGGCAAAGAATAAACCTTTAAGAATTAAAAGCCAAATAGAACCTGGAAAGAGGACTTTTGAGATCCATTTTCCAAACTAGAGCAAGCAATCACAGCAGAGAGGTCTCGTTTATGGGTTGAGATTGAATTGGAAAGAAAACGAATGGGAAAAAGCTTGTTTGAATTTGATCGGAGAGAAAAAGAAGAAGAAGAAGGAGAAGAAAAAGAAGAAGAAGAAGAAGTGAGAGAGGAAAGAGATGTTTTGGTTTGGATGGCCGATGAATACAAAGACGACGACATGGTCGAAAGCTTCATTGTCACAGAGCAAAAAAATTTAAAAAAAACAAATAAATAAAAATCGAGCTTTCAGATTCCCCCTCCTCTCCGTTTCCAATACTTTCTATTCTCGTTCTAATTGCTATTGCACTTTGTGGCTGTAACCTAATCCCGTCATAGTGGGACCCACAATGACGTCATGTGATACACATTAAAAAATATCACTTCTAAATATTGGACATTGGAAATTGCTTCGGGAAACCTCAAACCTTGACGATGATATCTTGATTTACAGTTAAAGTGATATTTTTTTTTATGATACGTGATGAATTATAATTTTAAATTTATAAAAGATATTTGATAGAGGAATTTATTTTCTGATTTGAATCATGATTCATGATTTATTACAATATTTTTTCTCATAAAAAATACACATAAATTAAAAATAATTCGAATCACATAATTTAAATCTTTTAACTAAAATCTTATATAAACGACTATTAAAATTACGGGTCGTATCCAATCAGGAAAACAAAAAACAAAAAAGTACGGGTCGTATCCGACACGTTATCTCTGATTCTTCCTTTCCAAGAAACAATCTTGCATTTTGGTGTGGTATAATTATTAATTAGTCCTTCAGTTATATCTGTGTTAAAGATGAGCGGAATAAATTACACGTCCTCATGTATTTATTCAAGTAAATGTGAAATGAATATTATATAGGGGCTTTTTAGGACAAGATAAACTGGTTAAAAAATTAATATGGTATGATGTGCATATTTCAATCTTGATTTATTTCGTCTAATTTAATATCTTATTATCCAATTGACCACCACGATATAAATAGGTTTAATGGTACTTATCGGTTATAATTCAACATATTTTAATCATATTGTGACCAATAGAATCAAACATTTGAGTTTTAAAATTTCACCGTATCCTATTTTATTAGTGTCGTTATCGAATCCAATCCGTTGGCTTTTTTACAAGACTTCACTTTCTCCCATTTTTATTCCTACACCTATTTTTTTCTCTCTCTCTCTTTTTAGTTTGCCCAATCTGTTAAACCCTTTTTGAAATATAAGTTTAATACTAACGTTGAAAAAAAAAAAAAAAAAAACAGAGAGAGAGCAAGAATTGACGTTCATAAATCCCTTATTTTCTTATAAACTCCAAAACTAGAAATTGCAGGGTCCATTGAACATCCAATAAGCAATCTAAAGAAAATGAAAGTGTGAAAGTTTGAGAGAAATATATATATTTTTAAGGTTCCTTTTATGAAAGTTTGATTGGATGTGTGAAAGTAAAGCTGTATACGTAACATATAGAGAGGTTGCATTTTGAGTTGCGTATCTTAAAGGTAAAAGTGCTTGATTTAATCCAAATCGATTTCATGAGTTATATCAAATCTAATCCAAGATTTTACAGTGGACGATGTAAGAAAAGGTGGCGGTTACGACAAGCCGGAGGTGAAAGAAAACGATGTTCTCAGGGCAGTAGGCGTGCGGACCTAGAAAACTCCATGACGAGGCTGCATAGGTAGGTCGCGTTGAGCTTTATCGCCAAGTAGGCCGTGGCATGTCACAACTCTTTTTAACAGTTTAGAATATGTCGTTAGCTTCAAAAACTCAAAAAAAAAAATAATTTGAGTTCTAATTTTATTTAAGTTTATGTTTTTTTAAATTTAAATTTAAATTTGAGACTAAAACTCGAATTTAAGTTTTCCATTCAATTCGAATTCAGAAACTCGAACTCAAATTAATGAACAATATTTTTTCTATTATTAAAAATGCTATAACTTTTTCGTTTTAATCCTGATTGAGATGATTTTTTTTTCTATGCGTTGACAACGAAAAGATGAATAAAACCCCACATATATATCTTATTAAAATTTTTTATCAACATTAAGATATACCTTATTAAAATTTTTCATCAGCATTGATTTTTTATTAAAATACTATCTAAATATAATTTTATATTTTGACTCACTCAAACACAAACTCAAAAAGATTTTTATCTCAAATCATAACTCAAATGCACACAACCAAATACAAATTCAAGTTACAACTTCAACTCAAATTATAATTCAAATTAAACTCAAGTTATAACTCAAATTTAACTTAAAAACTACACTTAAATCACACTCTAAAAGAACAGACAGTTTGTTTTCGTGACAAAAAAAAATAGGATCAATCATAGTTTTAACACTGATCTAACAGAGTAGAGCGTGCATCAACATTATTGTTTGGATTTCTAGCTGGCTAATGATCGTTTTATGGCTCCACAATATATTGGACTTGATACTCATTTTGATGTCTCCGCTAAGTGTTGACACATTCTCTCAATTGGAAGTTAAATTGACCTTTCAAAACCCCAAAAAAGCAAAAAAAAAAAAAAAAAAAAAAATGTTAATCTTTGGGGTCCGGATAAGGGAGCATGAGGTTGGAATTCCTTTATTCTAGCTCACAGCTTTTTTAATTCCATTAAAAAAAAAAATTTTAAAAGAGCAAAAAACTATATAGCTCACAAGTCACAATTATATCGACAAGAAAAAAAGAATGACAAAAACCTCGCTTTTTATATTGTTTTTCTTTTTCTTTTGTAATTTCTAATATCTGTTTTTTGAGATATCGTTGTCTTACGAATAACATTAAAAAAGATAAAAGATAAAAAAAAGAAAAAAGATCAGAAAAAAATATTAAAAAAGAAAAACAAAGAGGAAACAAAAAAAAAAAAGCAATAAACTGAAGACTTAAAAAAAAAAGATTCTTTGGAAATTGTCCCGGAAAGAGCGGAGAAAATTCAATTTCCCCATTTTCATTGCTGACAAATTAGTATGCTGCGCCCATGAATACCGGATATTTTTTGGTCCCTCTTTTATACACGTGGTTTTCTCTTTATTTCATTCACTATTAATTTTCATTTTCTTTCTCGAAAAGAAAAGAAACGAAAAAAAAAAAAATTCTCTTATTTTCTCACGGCGCGAGAATCCTTGGCGCGAGGGTTTCGATTTCTGCAGTCCAAAGGTGAGCGACGAAAAGCTTTCACTCTGAATTCACTGTATCATCCTTGAATCTGGCGCTCGGATTTTCTTTTCTTCTCATCTTGTAATGCAAACAGACGAATTATGATTTTTTTGGTACGATTTTTGAATTCCGTAGTTTGCGCAAAAGTTTGGATTTGACCGGTGGATCTCTCTGATAGCTGGAATTGCTTCCTGTTATAATTCCTTTTCCTGGTAATTTTTTTAATCCTTGTTTAGAGATAATTGATGATTAATTAGTTCTTAGGATGATTTTTATCTTCAAAAAGCAATTTTCGTCGGTAATAATAATAATAATAATAACAACAACAACAACATAATAATAAATAATAATAATAATAATAACAACAACAACAACATAATAATAAATAATAATAATAATAATAACAACAACAACAACATAATAATAAATAATAATAATAATAATAACAACAACAACATAATAATAATAAATAATAATAATAATAATAAAGCAGAGACGAGGAGTAGAATTAAAGTAAGTAGTACTGTATTCACAGAGGTGACTTTGTTATATGCCACTGACTTGCGAAACGCGTAAAACGGAAGCGATATTTTAATTTGAGCCTAATTTAAAACATTTTATTTCATTTTATTTTTTTTTCTTCAGAGAACATCATTTTGTTGCTTACGCTGTCATTTGACTTTTGGACGTATGATATGATGATTGGTGCCATTTTTTTAATACTTTATAGTCTTATTATACCCGTTCCTCTTTATATTCTAGATTTTTGTTTTATTTTCTTATCATTTAAGTTTGATTATCCGCGAGAGAGAGTATTCATCAACTAGACTGTAAAGTGGTTCCGTTTATTTCTGATTTAAATTTTTTGAATTAAAAACTCGAATAGCGAAGTCTAAAATTACAGTTCTTCCTCTATTTTTGAAAAAAATTTTAGGAAATAAAACTGATTCATATTAGGCAGAAGTTCAGTTCTTTGGTTCATACGATTCAACAGTTAAATTGGATTTCTATTAGTCAAATATGATTATTTATTGGCATATTTGTTTAGCTTTTGTTTTTCTCTTAGAAATTTATTACAATTTCTAGATGAATTTGACCCGGAAGAAGAAAGATTTATCTGGGAATAGATGGAAACTGAAATGAGTGATCTTGACAGTCTTATGGCATGTTTCTTTCCGTAAAAATCTGCGGAAGAAGAAAGGTTTATCTGGTTTCGTTATAGGATTTCAACGAGGACAACATAGCCCCTCAAGTATATCTATAGAATTCTCTTTTCCTTCACGTAAATATAACTGATCTTCTCTGTTGTTTGTATATTTGGTAGAACGAAAAGATGGGTCAAACTTTAGGCTGCATTCAAGTGGACCAATCTAATGTAGCTATCAAAGAAACTTTTGGGAAGTTTGATGATGTGCTTGAACCTGGTTGTCACTGCGTGCCATGGTTTTTCGGGAGCCGTCTAGCTGGGCACCTCTCGTTACGTGTACAGCAGTTGGATGTTCGTTGCGAAACAAAGACGAAGGTTTGTTGCATAGTTTTCTTCATTTCTCATTATGATGACTAGGTCTGTACAAATTGGTGAGTCTAACACAAAACTCCTAGTGGCAATGAAACAATTATGTGCAATGGAAATTTACATATAATGGAATTTGAAAGCCTTCTGCTGACTGCTTTACATCAGAACACTTCATATTTTTCCAAGTCTAGTATCATTACTTACGTATTCTTTATCGATGCAGTTTATATGTTTGAATTGCAATCAATTTACATTCTGATTCATGTTGTTTCCCCAGGATAATGTTTTTGTTACTGTAGTTGCGTCTGTTCAATACCGCGCTTTAACAGACAAGGCTTCTGACGCTTTCTACAAGCTCAGCAATACCAGGGGCCAGATCCAGTCTTATGTTTTTGATGGTATGGAATATAAAGTACCGACGCTTGTATAACATTCGATGTATCGGTGAACTCTGCGTCTTTTAATCCAAAACTTGAGATTTTTAAGTGCTTTTAGTTGTATCTTTAAATAGCAACACCCCTATGGTTGAGATTTGTGGTCGTTTGCTCTGTGGTTGGTATGGACGTTCTGCATCGTTATTGTTTGGCCTAGACTAGATAACTGGTTGCATCAGGAACTAACAAGTTTCTCTTTGGCGTTCAGTTGTCAGGGCAAGTGTTCCAAAATTGGACCTGGATTCGACTTTTGAACAGAAGAATGAGATAGCGAAAGCTGTGGAAGATGAACTTGAAAAGGTAAAACCTGTCTACTTTTACTCGCCGTTTAGAATTAAACGACAAAATACTCATCTTCTCACTTCCTCTTTGGATACTATAGGCCATGTCTCATTATGGATTCGAGATAGTCCAGACTCTTATTGTTGATATTGAACCAGATGAGCGTGTGAAGAGAGCAATGAATGAGATCAATGCAGGTATACAAACTTTATTGTCTTGAGTGTTTCTAGGATGGCCCAAATTTCTCGTATTATTTGTTTGCTACGTTCTTTGATTTTCTTCCTTAGATCATTAATGACCAGAGCAGATCACACACAAACGTGGGAATCCTAACAAACTACTTCTATCATGATCTGCCAAATGTTTGATGTGCGTATCTTTGACTTGTAGCTGCTAGATTGAGGGTGGCAGCAAATGAGAAAGCCGAAGCAGAGAAGATTTTGCAGATAAAAAAAGCCGAGGGAGATGCAGAGTCCAAGTATCTGGGTGGGCTCGGCATAGCTCGGCAGCGCCAAGCGATTGTTGACGGGTTGAGGGACAGTGTGCTTGCCTTCTCTGCAAATGTACCCGGGACGTCATCAAAGGATATCATGGACATGATTCTCGTGACGCAATACTTTGACACGATGAAGGAGATTGGTGCATCTTCAAAGGCCAACTCAGTTTTTATTCCACATGGACCTGGTGCCGTGAGAGATATTTCTTCGCAGATAAGAGAGGGTTTTATTCAGGCAAATGTAATTGTGGAGTAGAGTATAGGACTACGTTAGATAGAAGCAGAAGCTAAGCAAAAGTCAAATGCTCAAATTTTGGATTATTGCATTTGTGTCTCTGTAAAGTGCTTTTGTGATTAGAAAGTACTTGAAAGAAATTGCACTAGTGTGAGTGTCTAGAGTCAACTATCTCATTCACCGGTATGTGCTTCTATTTTAATACGATGGATCTGTGTGAATAAAGAAGCTAGAAGGATTAGTGAGTCGTATACCAGGCTTCGTCTGTAGTCATGGGAATGGTTTGGATATTACTTTGTTTTGATTTTTCTGTTTTGTCAAATTACTCTATACCCTTGTTCTATCAGCCACCAAAAATTAAAATCCCCCAACAACCTAAAATGAGGGGATTTTGATGCAGATACGGTTGAAAACTAGTTCTCAACCTTAGGACCAATAACTAAAGATTCGTTTGGTATGATGATTCAAATCATGATTCTAAAATCAAAATCATGATTTATAATTTTGAGTTTAAATCATGATTTTGAAATCATGATTCTGAATTAAGAGTTTAAATTACCTTAAATTAAGAGGATGATGGTTTTAAAATCATAATTTGAAATAATTTAAAACATCACATTAAATTCTAAATTATAATTCAGAATAATTCAAACTAAATACTGATTTAAAATCACTGTAAACAAACACATTCTAAACTAAGATCCATAATCATGATTCTGAATCCATCTATCAAACACATCCTAATTCAAACTTGGTGGGGGGAATCCATCCATCAAACACATCCTAATTCAAACTTGGTGGGGGGAGAGAGAGAGTCAGCTTAACAAGATCGTGTTTTACTTTATTTTTATTATTTTGAAAATGGAAGCAAAAGCGACAAAACTTTCATATCAAACCAATTTAAGTATACCCGTCCATTGACAAAAGGTAACGGATGAATATGAAATGGAATTTGACTATAGTTTGTGCCAATTATTTTATACAACCCATGACCACCAAAAGATTTGAAGAAACCAACACATCAACAAACCGCAAGTTCATCGGAAAAGTTACTGTGCCACTGGACCTGACTTATTGCCCCCACTAAAAAAGACCAACCTTCTTCCAATGGCATTAGCTTGGCGCCAGACAAGTTCCTTAGTCTAAGGCTTAAGGGCCAAGGCTAGACCAATCTTTGCGCTCTTCTCAATTGCCCTGGTGTCCACTTCTCCTGAAATGGTGAAGAGCGATTTCGGGCGCCACTCGTGCTGAATGAGAGCACTGGCCTTCCCGGAATTGTTTACACGAGCCTTCAAAGTAGTTAGGGGATCAAGAGCGTGTTGTGTGCCAATTGTGAGTGTGTTTTCATTGCTTGAGAAACTATGGGATAGCTCCGCCCCAACAGCAGTGTTGGTCAGTGGGCTTACAGAATGGTAGTACGAAGCAGTTAGGGCATCACCTTTATCATTCCTGCATAGATTGAAGAGGTCACACAACCATGAAACTGTATTGATTTGAATTTACATACCGGAAGAGGAAGAAAATAACTCACAATGTCAAGGAAGCAATTAGGTCGGAGCGGGTGAAATTCAACCCAGCATTGAACTTGGTGAAGTTCCCAGTGGCAGTGTCAAACGACAGATCTGTTCCAATGGCCAGAGTATTGTTTCCAACCGCACCAGAAAAGTTGACGGACGGATTTGCAGTCAACCCAATGCTAGTGCTGATCCCAGCATACTCGTGCTGGTATTGGAGTTCCACCTATTACCATAACCACAATACCAATTTATATTTAATCTGTAGCCAAATGATGTGTCCTTAAGCGAATAAATTCGTATGAAATTGAAGAGAAATGAACAAGCAGCTTAGTCCTTACCTTTCCAGATCTCTGATCAGGAACAATAAAGCTAAAGATTGCCTTGAGTCCAGGTGCCGGCTCATCGACAGTGATGGTGGTGAGAAGCTGCATATTCACATTCCAATAGTAGTGATTAGACATTTAGACCACAAACAAAATTCTCATAACTAGTTGAGAACAACAAGATGAAAACATCATTATAAAGTGTGGCTCAACGGGGAGACATTTCAGGGAAAGATAAAGAGGAAAGAAGTAACTGTGCATTTTTGAAACTTACGTTAGAGTTGGTATCAACTTTTACATCAGTTGTGATGTTCTTGTTCTTCAATTGGGTGCTCACATCGGCCAAAAAGAGCTCGCCTTTCTTGATTCCAGTCGAAGTGATTGCCTGAAGTGTAGTGAATTTGTTGATTAGAGCATATCAGAGATTCAACTTTAAACACAAATTTAAAACTGAAAAGCAAAATCAACATACAAGCATCAAAACTAATGCTTGTGCAATTTCATAAAGAAACAGGACAAAAAAATGACATACAAAACAGTACAAACACTGAATCCATCCTTTTCTAATCTCATCCCACTTAATTTCAAACGTAAAATAATAGAAAAGGAGAAAGGTCTATGATTTAATCATTTCATTTATTCTCTCTTTCTGATTTCCCAGCAACTTAACAGATGATTGAATAATTGAAAACGGTACAAACACTGAATCCATCCTTATCCAAACTCATTTCATTTTCACCTAATTAGAAGGAGCTTCTACAGTAGGTAGTGCGTGTTTCTAAACGTTTGAATCTGATCAAAATCACATCAAAATGAAATGTATGCAAAATTGTTGGATACAAATTTGACAGTTTTAAAACATAATCCGACAGATATTTTCATACCCTATCGTAGAATTCTCTTAATTACCACATATAATAGACAAGCGAAGCATATGATTTAATTATTTCATTTATTTTCTCTTTCTGATTCCCCAGCAACTTAGCGGAAGATTAATAGGTCAACAATTAAATTAAAAATAAAAATAAAAAGGTTTCCACAAGACTTACTGAAAGGTCGTTTTGGTTAACACAATCATTAAATTTCATCAGAAAATATAAAGAAATACTTATTTCTCATCGAAAAAATAAGCAAACAACCAATACAGAATGCAATTCACCGATAAAATGAACAACACCATAATAAGAAAATAGAAATGAAAAAGGAAAAGTCCAGAAGCTTACGACTCCGGCGGAAGTGTAAGTAGTGATGGTGAATTTGTGATCAGCCTGGTAATCCTTGTACAGAAGATCTGAGAAATATATATAAATTCATGAAAAAAGAAAAAAAAATTTACGAGCCAGGAGATAAAATTGAAAGGAGAAAATAAAAAATCACTAACCTCTGGCTTTCTTGCCAATGTCGGAGTAGAGACCCGGTCCTTTCACCATTTTTTTCCCGAGAAAAAGCGCAGGAAAATGAGCGAGAAAAAAGAGGGTATGGGAGTGAATTTTGAATGGAAACAGTTCAGAGGTGGAGAAAAATGGGAGAGTTGTTAGGAGGACGATAGGATCGGTCTTTGCTGATGCGTTGGATTTGAACCGTTGAATCTTGTGGTGGTAAGTGGGTTCGGTGGCCGTCGATCTTTTGACCTGATAGACGGGGTTTCGGAGCTTCGGGAAATTTATGACCTCGAGAGTCGGGACAAGGGAGTTCGGTTCGGCATATTCGCTTCTTTTTTTTTTCTTTTTTTTTTTTTTCCTATGTTCCCACTAACTTGAGTTGGAAAATTTTGGGGGCATTTCTGATGAGATAAGGAAAAAAATGGTAGATATTTATTTTTAATTTGATTTGATATAGTTATGGCTTGATCTAACCGTTTTTAACTGATACTATTTGTAGAATTGACTTATTAAATAATTTTTTTATTTTTCTATAAAAAATATGTTTTATTTTATGAGAATTTTTCTGATAATCTATCCTATTAATATTCTCAATTTTTATTATAAAATTTAATTAAAATCACATCAGATTAAAAATATAAAAAATAGACATATTTTAATGTAGATCTAATGACCGAAAAATATGACTAAAAGTGATCCATTTTACAAGGACTATAAAGTCCCTCTCACCTTTTTTTGAGATCTTTTATGGTAGAAAATTTTAATTTACACAGAAATTATTAGTGATTAGGAATAGTTACGTGTCGTTGCGTTGTAAATTTGTAATGTAGATGGACACATTAAGGTCCCGTTCATTTTGTTAATTCGAGTTTAGAATTCGAGTTTTGCTACAGTAAAAAGCTCTCACAAACAATCACATCTAACTTTTTTACTATAGTAAAAAGCTCTCACATAAAATTACATCTCAACTCGAATTAAAAACTCGAATCAGCGAACTAAACGGGCCCTAAATTTTTAAAAAATTAACTAACAATTAGAAACAACAGTTTTTCTGGGTAGTTCTAACCTTAGGAGTTTTTTTTTTTTTGTTGAGAAATTATTGATTTTCTTTTTTGCTAGTATTTTGAGAAATTATTGATTGATGTGATATAGACCAACTAAAGCGGGCTCTAGCAGCAACAGAAGGTATATCCAGAGCACAAGAAAAACATGATGATGTCGGCTATAAAAAATTGAAAAAAAAAATGTAGCATAGAATTTAGAAATTGAAGATAATGATTGAATGCTTTTGTAATTTTTTTTTTTAGCTTGTCTTGTTAACCTTTTTCGATGCGGGTGTTCTAAGGTTCTTTGTCTTTTTGTAATGCTTCGGTTAATGCTCTGGAGAGTATTTAAGTTTCTGTTTATTTCGCTCATTTGTGTTTTATTATAGTAAAAAAATTTTATAAATAATTATATTTAATTTTTTTATTATAATAAAAAATTCACATAAAATTATATTTCAACTCAAATTAAAAACTCGAATCAACGAACTAAACGGACCCTAATTCTATGAGTTTTGTTTATTTCTCATTCGTCGAGGGAAGTTAGTACAGTTGCTGGTTTTGGGTTTTTATACTTAGTGGCATGATGCTTTAAACTTTATTCTTAAAGGAGTTTCCAGATGTTTCTAAATTTATAAGATATAAATTCAGAGCTTGATTTTGTTGTTTTGTTGCTTTCTCCTGTCTGATGTATTTTTCTTTTTTTCTTAATAAAAGGTCACAAGTACGTGAACTCGTTTTCATTAAAAAAAAAAAAGAAAAGAAAAAATTTGAAATATGTACAGATCCTACAAGTTTGGGGGAGAATGAAAAGTTGGAAGTAGTTGAGAATAAGGACATGTTCTATGATTTTTGATTTTGTGTTTGAAATTTAAATTTTTTGTGAGATAAAATATTGTAGCAGAATTAATGATTTGAGTTTGAATATATAAAATAAACGGTCCGTAAATGATTTACAAGTAATGAACATCAGACACCATTGGTATTGACATAGTTTTCTTTTGCTTTTTCTTTTTTTAGGGAGTTTTTTCAATAGTCTGCCATTTCTTAGTCTCAAATTTTAACTGTTAAATTTAGTCAAAATCACATTAGATTAAAAAAATATGCAAAACAAACATATTCTGATATAGATTTGACGATTAAAAAGTAAGAGACTACCGGTAATCCATTTTTATAGGAACTATCAGAGAAAATCCCTTTTTTTAATGATATATAATTAATCTTGATGATAATTAATATATAATTTATTTAGTTCACACGTTTAAATCATTGATTTTGATTCTAAATTCAAATTATTTGAGAGAATTAATTGATAATAACTTTTTTTGTTTACATTTTTTATAAGAAAAAAATACTATAATAAAATTAGAAATATAATTTTAAACGTGTGAATTAAACGACCCTTAAAAAGTGAGAGCAACTCCGGTGTTGTCTTTAGGTGTTTTGCAATTCGCTAGGTTATTGATCATGAAATCTTGTCCTTTTTTGAGCATTTCATTCCGAGTTATGAATTAAACCTAATTTTTATTAAAGTCGTGTCGATATATAGTTTGCAGTTGTGTGGTCATAATTTATGCTTTTAACGTCTTAATTTGAATGTATTTTCCTTAACTAATAGCTACTATTTTCAATAATTAATTGGTATTTACAATTTGTTTTGAATTGGTAATAAAAATTATTGTAAATAAGACGTCAAATGACAAAAAATGTATCCCGTCTATCATTTTGTTTTCATTTGATTTTCTATATTTTTCATTTGATTTAATTTTATATTTTCGTTCATAACATATTTGTAATTATCAGAATACCGAACTATATGGATGACTAACAATTAAGCAATCAAAATCACATGTTTTGTTTATTTTTTCTTTTCCCCAATTGAAATCACATGTTTTGTTTCTTAAAAAAAAAGAGATCACATTTATAAAAAAAAAAAGATCACATATATAACATTTAAAATCGGAAAAAAGGGGCTTTAACGGTAAATAAGAAAAAAAAAACTTATTATAAGTCCAGCAAAAGAAAAAAATGGCTTATTTGCATATATGTCCTCTCAACTTCTTGTAATTAGTAAATCAGTTCTTAAATTAAAATATTGACGATTAACCTTTTAAACTTAAAAAATTTATTGCATAATAAGTCCAATAAAAAATGAAGTTCAATTTTTTTATGTTTTTCTTGTATGTTACTCGTAGTGACCATTTGTTGAGAACGATCTAGGTCTTTTTTGCTCTAATTGAGACCCGTTATTAATAAATTTTCCTCTTTTTTACGATGAATTAGGGATAATCAGCAACACTGCAAGTAAGTTATTTTTCATATAAGTTCCAATTAGAGCAAAAAAGAGTTAGGCTGTCGTAAATAGTGGCTCCCGTGCTTGTAACAGACAAGAAAACCATAAAAAAAATCTCATTTTTGATTGGACATACCATGCAACATATTTTTTTGAAATTTGAGGAGTAAATTGTTAACATTTTTAGTTTAAGGACTGATTTTTCAAATGTAAGAAGTTTAAAGGACATCCATGTAAAAAGGCCAAAAAAGGAAAACGCTAGCAGGCGCTTTTATCTAGCCACGTCAATAAATTTTGTGCACCTTTTATGAAAAAAGTGAATAGAATATTTGATCGACTTTTTGATGTACACGACAAAACAAACGTCTTACACGTATCCATAGCAAAAAACATTTTTCCTTCTTCTTCTTCTTCTCTGTAATGCTCGGAACTCTGTATTAGCTCGATCCATGTCGACCATTACCATAGAGCCCCTCTTCCACCATTGTCGCCGAGAAACCTCCAGGTTCTCTCATGGATCGAAGCAATTCAAGCCTTGTTCCTGGTCTTGCTTCCCAAAGAAGTTCGACTTCCATGGCCGGAAAACCTTCTTCTGCGATTTCAAGCCTCATCGCCGGCCTCTCCTTGTCCGAGCTATCTCCGCCCCCGGAAAGGCTGCCGTCGAGGCTTTCGAATCTTCTGACGTCTTTTTCAAGGAGACTTTTCCCTTGAAGCAAACTTCAGTGGTTTGGATTTCCTTCTTAGATTTTGATTCTGATTTTGTCACAAATTTCAAGCTTGAATATTTTGTTTATCTGTTTGTTTTATTTCTGGAAATTTTGAATTAATCGTAAATTTGACCGTCCTGTTTATTATCATTTTTAGATTTTGGTTTTAATTTTGTTCACTAATTTCAAGCTTGAATATTTAGTTCATTCGTTCTTTTTTTTTTCCTGGATAAACTTTAATTGATTTTTGTTGTTTGTTTTAGTTGAAATTATTACGTGTTTTACGCTCTCCAAATATGATTTTGAATTTTTGATTGTTATCTATTAGCAGAACGTTTTGTTAAATTTATTTTGCCTTTTGTTTTCATGCTTTTTAATTTTACCGTGGAAGCGGAAAATAAAATAGGATTTGAGATTTGATTATGATGGGAACGTGGATTTGATTAACGTGAAATTATAGGTGGAGGGAAAGATCTTCATCAGGTTGGATCATGGGAAGAACAAACAAGATTGGCAGTTCACTGTGGGTTGTGATCTTCCTGGAAAATGGATTCTTCACTGGGGAGTTTCTTATGTTGATGATGTTGGCAAGTAAGTTTTCATTTACTATTGTATTTCGATTTAGTTATGTTAATTTGTGTACTTATTGTTATCAACTTGCTTTTATGGACTATGGAAATTTTGAAGTATATCGTTTCTATTTAAAGTGAGTCAACAGAATTCCATACTCGATCTCATAGATACATATAGAATTCTGTGGAAAGCCGATGAAAGTCGTATGTACGACTTGGAGGGAGATCTTTCATATTTTTTGAGATCCACCCTACAATATGGGGTCAAAAAGCCAAAATAAATTATTGTAGCCCTTATAAAAAGAATACTGATTATTGAGCCCCTTTCACGCTCATGTCACGTCGAGGTACTGCAGAAGAAAAAACTGCAAAATCCAATCCAATTTATCGTAATCGATTAGTTAACATGTTGGTTAACCGTATTCTGAAACGTGGAAAAAAATCATTGGTTTATCAAATTATCTATCGAGTTTGATTTGATGGCTATTGCTAGATTTTCTCCATCAGTTATAATCATATAGTGGTTGTATATTTGAATTACTTGCAGCGAATGGGATCAACCTCCCAGTGGAATGATTCCTCCTGGATCAGTCCGAATCAAGGTACCTGTTTTACCTTTTCCAGATAGCATATATTCATTGCGAATTAAATTGTTTTTTTTCAATTTTAATTTATATTATTTACGTTTTTTATAGGACTATGCAATAGAGACGCCTTTTAAGAAGTCATCTTCATCTTTGGGAGGTGATACATTTCAAGAAGTCAAGATTGATTTTGATCCCAAGAGTTCAATCGCGGCAATAAATTTCGTCCTAAAGGTTGTGATTTATTACAATTAGTAGAAATGCATGTCAGTTTTGAAATGCTAAATTATTGAGTAAGATGGACAATTTTCAGTTGATTTTTCATTTCTCTCCATTTTTTCTCATCTTTTTCTTTTTCGGGGGTGAAGGATGAGGAAACGGGTTCTTGGTATCAGCATAGAGCGAGAGATTTTAAAGTGCCTCTTGTGGACTATCTACAGGAGGGTGGCAATATAGTTGGACGGAGAAAGGGCTTTGGTAAATGGCCAGGTTACACAAATCACTACTTGTCACATTTCTTAATTTTTGTATGCTTGATATACTGGAGCTGTTATGAAGATAAATTTATTTTTACCTGATTTTTTCCTGAAATCCGGTCCCTTTTATTCAATTTGTTTTTCATCATAAACTGGAGGTCTTGGACAGCTTTCCAACATGTTCTTTAAAGCAGAAGCATTGGATTCTAAAGATCAAGAGAGCAATACTGAATCCAGAGACACTGAACAAGAAAATAGGCCCCTAGAAGGATTCTATGAGGAACTTCCTTTAGCAAAAGAGGTGGTTGTTTGTAACTCGGTTTCTGTTTCTGTTAGGAAGCACCCTGATACAGCCAAAAGTCTTCTGTACATGGAAACAGATCTATCTGGTGAGGTTGTCGTGCACTGGGGAGTTTGTAGAGATGATGCTAAAAACTGGGAAGTTCCAGCTTCACCATATCCACCTAATACTGTCATATTCAAGGACAAGGCTTTGCGAACGGTGTTAGAGGTAGGAATTCTGCTCTTCCTATAAAAATTGAACTTCTTTTTGGTGCTTTTGTCTAACATCATTTATGTTTTCTGCCATTTTTTTAACCATCTTGCTATTGCTATTCTATATCGTCATGATATTACCACTATGTAAAATGTAGAGCACTCTGTTTTGTTGTTGTTTCTTCCTTCTGTTTTTCACAAGTTTTATAGTTGCTAACGGATGAATCCATGGGTTATTCAAGAAGTGGGAAGACACTCAATTGGGTAAATGCATATAAGATCCGAGTGAATGCAACATTGTGCTCTTGAAGTTGTTTTTATCTTTCCTTCTCTCTTCTTCTTGAAAAAAAAAAAAAAACTTTGTAATGGAATTCTCATCTGTGCTGTCTGAGAAATAGTATTGATCTGTCGTAACGGATTAATTTCTTGCTATTTACAAGGGAATCCTGCTTGCAGGCAAAAGAAGGTGGAATAGGATCTTTTAAAGTGTTTACCTTGGAAGAAGGGCTTGAAGGATTTCTTTTTGTTCTCAGGCAAAATGACAATTCTTGGTTAAACTGCATGGGAAATGACTTCTACATCCGCCTTCCGAGCTCAACTATCGCTTCTGGTCTTCCCAAACAGGTTCAAGCTGAAGGGGCAGAGACACCTGGAAAACCTGCAGAGGAAAATGAAATTAGTTCTCTTTCTGCATATACCGATGGAATAATCAGTGAAATAAGGAACTTGGTGAGTGATATTTCCTCTGACAAGAGTCAGAAGACAAAATCCAAAGAAGCACAAGAAAGTATTCTTCAAGAAATTGAAAAGCTGGCCGCTGAAGCTTATAGTATTTTTAGAAGTTCTGTTTCAACATTTGTAGAAGAAGGTGTTGCAGAATCGGAGGCTTTATTACCTACTGTCAAGATATCTTCAGGGACAGGCACAGGTTTTGAAATATTATGCCAAGGTTTTAACTGGGAGTCTCATAAAGTGGGAAGATGGTACATGGAGCTCAAAGACAAGGCTAGAGAATTATCTTCACTTGGTTTTACTGTCATTTGGTTACCACCACCTACAGAATCTGTGTCAGAACAGGGGTACATGCCAACAGATTTATACAACCTGAATTCCAGGTACCAAAAAAGGAGTTTTATGTCGTGTTCCATATTTTCTTAATTGTTTCATTCTAATGAGCTCCTTTTACACCTTTTCTTTATGCTATTATTAGTTTTAGCTTGCAACCTGCTTAGAAGCATAGTAGGTTAGAGTTACCTGCTTCCTTGTCAGACATTTGTGATTGGCTCTTTGCGTCATATTCTACAAACTTCTTTTTTCACAAATAAAAAGGCGCCAGTTTGCCTTTTCTGTTTCCTAGGTGTGACCTGGTAGAATTTCTATATTGTCCTCACAAATATTTCTATTTTCAAAGATCTATATCGAGATACAGGTAGCATCAAGAATATGGAGGATCCTGTGAATGTTATTGATGGCTGTTGTGTTGTACAATGTCAGATATGGAACTATGGAAGAGCTGAAGGAAATTGTTATGATCTTCCATGAAGTTGGTATGAAAGTTCTTGGAGATGTTGTCTTAAATCATCGCTGTGCACAGTATCAGAATCAAAATGGTGTTTGGAATGTATTTGGTGGTCGTTTAAATTGGGATGATCGTGCAATTGTCGCAGACGACCCGCATTTTCAGGTATATATTTAAATGCTGGCAACTATTTGCTTTTAGGATTAACAGTCCTTTTTTGGTTAGTGATTAGGATTATGCCTGATTTCCCGATATAATACCTTTGACTTATGCTGCAAATCTCTGTTTTCTTTTCTCTTATGCAGGGTAGGGGAAACAAAAGTAGTGGAGATAATTTTCATGCTGCTCCAAACATTGATCATTCACAAGATTTTGTGAGGAAGGACATCAAGGAATGGTTATGCTGGCTGAGGTAGGATCTGGTGACCTTACAAGAGACGTATGGCTTTTAAATGTCACATGTTGTTTTAACATATTAAAAATACAAATGTTGCATGTCCGATATAAATGCATGCCCTAATTATTAGTAAGCAAGTCCTCAGGCTACAGCTGCACCCTTTCTGCTTCTCGATCATGTTATATATGTGGACTTGGTTGATAAAAATCTCGTCATTTGCTATTACATCTGGAGTTGATGTCAGATAGTAGCACCTTTAATTGTGTCTTTAAACGGTTATCAGGTGCTTTAGAAGCCTTGTTATAATGGAGACTTAATAAACGTGCCTTACAAGCGTTGCTTTAATGTAAACTTGTTTTGTGGTGACTGTGTTGTATCTGTTTATATTTGGTAACTATTTGCTCTTCGGGGAATTAATAAACAAATTTGGATGTTTCCAGCAAACTGCCATTCATTCCTATTTCTACTGTACAAATATTTTAAACTAGCGGTCTCTTTATGAATTCAGTTTTACTTCGTTAAGGGTTTAAAGAATCAGAAGCCTTCGTTACAATATCATTAATGCATATTAATACATATTTCCGCAGTAGCACTTTCTTGGATTTTTAGTTGTAATATTTGATACCTATGCGTGGCCCACAGGAAAGAAATTGGCTACGATGGATGGAGACTTGATTATGTGAGAGGGTTTTGGGGTGGTTATTTGAAGGACTACTTGGATGCTAGTGAGCCCTACTTTGCTGTAGGCGAGTACTGGGATTCACTTGGTTACACATATGGAGAAATGGATCACAATCAAGATGGGCATCGGCAGAGAATTGTTGACTGGATTAATGCTACAAATGGAACCGCTGGTGCATTTGATGTCACAACAAAAGGAATTCTTCACTCGGTAAGCGTTTAAACTAGTGCAGGGAAAACGAAATGATTTGCTGTCGATGAATGAAGATGTGGACTAGCGATTCTAGAACATTTCATACTTTCTTGAAGTATCTAGAACATATTAGTTTGTTCATATTCTTGCTGAAGAATTTGAATACAGTTGGGAAGAAGTATTTGATTTCTACTACTCTCAGTTTTCTGCTCTTTCTACCATAGCCATGTTTCGTAGTATTATTGGTTTTAACAACTGTTACGTGAGTGGCCTTATATTTGTAGTATATATCTATTCTATGTAGGCACTAGAAAGATGTGAATATTGGCGACTATCGGATGAGAAGGGAAAGCCACCTGGTGTTGTTGGATGGTGGCCATCTCGTGCTGTTACTTTCATAGAGAATCATGACACTGGTTCCACTCAGGTTGGAAGTTATTTCATTTTGGATTCTCCCTAATCCCCTAGCTACTTTCGAACTTGGGCTATTAAAACAGTATGTGGCAGATGGTTGTTCAGTTTTGAATCGATAAAAGACATCTATTAATGAATAGATTTAACAGTTTACTAAATGAAAACTAAGTACTTGTATCACTTACTATTTATAATTTTTTGAACATATTAGTCTTCCTAGTTATATTTTAATGCCATTGCTCCTTGCGTTTTCTTCTAGCTAACATATTTTCTTACTTGTTCCCTCTTTCCAAAGGGTCATTGGAGGTTTCCAGGTGGAAAAGAAATTCAAGGATATGCCTACATTCTGACCCATCCAGGAACGCCGTCAGTGTTTTATGACCACATTTTCTCTCATTACGGATCTGAAATTGGATCTCTAATCTCCCTGCGAAATCGGAACAAAATCCACTGCCGTAGTAGAGTAAGTATCAGATCTTGAAGTTGATTTTGTTCACCATTCAGTAACGCATGTGCAAGTTTAGAGTAACATTAATTAGGGAGAACACTGACATTAGCTTCTGATGTCGTTGTAATCAGGTTCAAATTACCAAGGCAGAAAGAGATGTTTATGCAGCCATCATCGACGAAAAAGTCGCGGTGAAGATTGGACCAGGTCATTATGAACCCCCAAGTGGACCTCAAAGATGGTCTCGGGCTGTGGAGGGAAGAGACTACAAGGTCTGGGAAGCTTCTTAATATGCTAAGTTGCATCCTATAAATACGATTACACGAGGCTTGAAGAAGGAAGTTTTTTTTTTTTCATAATTAAATTGTTATATCTATTCAAATTGAAGCAAGCCAATTAAGAATAATCTATTTGCTTGTCATGATGGTACGACTACGAGCTTCTCCGAGTTTAAGGTCTTGTACCCTGCTTTATCTGTCCTCGAAAACCCGAGTTTGAGAAGTTTGTACGTGGGAAGTACAACACTTCGGTGAATCAGCTAATGTGGTGTAGACGAGCATGGTACTAGTTTTGGGAAGGTGATGTACCATCATTCACAGAATTCTATTCATGTATACGATTTGATTAGCAGAACATTGTTGTATTTTCTCTATTAAATTTGACTTGGCAAGAGAGAAGTTGAGTGATCTTCTCTCTCTTTTTTTTTTTTTTTTTTGGTTGTCTTGCTTGTGAAATCAATAACAATAAGATTTAGCACCGGTGGTGCTTAATAGTTGGTGGGCTGGGCCTACAATATGAGAGTCCATTTGCGATTAACTTTGTACCACTAGTGTCCTTAAACAATTTTTTTTTATCAAAAATAGTAGAAAATAGGCTAATATGAAAAGTTTAAGAAAGTATATAAGTTAATTTTTAGTCATAGAAATTAATAAGTCTTAATTTGTTAAGTTATGGTTAATAACTAGATAAATTATGGATAAACTTGTTAAGTTATGGTTCATAATCAGACGAGTTATGAACAAAAATTATGAATAACTTGTCAAGTTATGATTCATAACTAAACAAGTTATGGACGAAAACAGTAATTTGACTTATTTATTAACTTATGTAAACTATTGGCCTATTAATTTTAATTCATCTCAAATCTTGGCCTATTTCTCTCTTTCTCCTTTTTTTTATTTATTTTTTTTAAATCAATGGTATTTGCTTCCACTTATTTTGTTGCCTCTAAAAAAGCAGACTCCACGCAGCATCTCAAGCAAACTCCTCTGTGGTCAACAAATGCCAACGGTTGACCGTTGGCCCCAAAAATAGATGCCTAAGCCAGCAGAATATAGTAAAGAATTCTGCCTTGTAAATATTACTCACCAACCTATTCTAGACCACAACACGTCCGATCAACAAATGTGTTGCTCAACGCAGTCCATGCTTTTGATTTGCAGTCAATAGTCAACGGTTATGCTAGACTACTAATTTTCAGAAACGACACGCATTCATACACGGACATATATAAATGTATAGCATATATACAAATATATACACGTAAATATGCATGCATGTATATATTACATGTATGAGCTGGTATACTTGTTATATATGTATCTATGTATGTACAAGGCATTGCGTCCAATGGGGATACTTACTAAAAGCAGCCTGCTGACTTCTTGGCCGTTTTATTACCTTTGTTTCCTAGTCTGTCTTCTTAACAACAACAGCCAATGCCAACAAAAAATCGATGACCATAATATAATATTTCTCATGTCTAATCTAAGATCACAACTACAGTACAACCTTGTATTTTGGGTTCTGATCAATGCAGGTTAAAACGATTTGGACCGTTAATATTTGATATCAAAAGAACAGCTTTATTTCCAACCATCCAAATTGATTTAACTTTCATCCGGCAGCTAAAAATTAAGATGTGTCTATAGCCTCAAGAACAATGATTGTACCGTAGTTCTACTCCTAATAATCTAAACATAGAAATACAAGAAAGAAAGAGAGAGAGAAATCAACCGCCAGTTATTAACCAACTTTCCCCGCCTAATACATCTCCAACCCCAATAAAATTCACGCCATAAATATCTCCTTTTCCTTTTTTTTTTTTTTTTATATCTCACGAGAGATTACTCATGCTAATTGTAGGATTATATTTAAACAAGTCCTGCCCTTAAGATTTAAGACCCCTCCAACAAAACGAGTTGATGAAATTGCCCTCATAATTACCAAGTTGTAGGTTTCATAACCTTGTTGCAGGTGGGGTTGGCTAGGTCTCTCTCGTCCTAGATTCATAAACCTAGACCTAAGCCTTCACCCAATTTACAACAAGCTTCCTCATTGACGAGAGAGGGGGCAAGACAAAATTTTTTTTTTTTCTAAAAAATGGCAATAATGGTTAATACAAAATGTAGCTTTGTGTTTTTATTTATGTTGACTTGTGGTGTAATAATGGCTCATTCCCACATTGCGGAGTTTGATGATTATTGGAAAAGCAGAGCCGAGGAAGCCCGGAAAGATGCCCTCCAAGCTTACAGCCCACATCCTCATGAAGTCACCGATCAATTGAACTATGATGTCCAGGAGTGAGAACAATCACCATTCCCATTTATCTTACATCATAATTATACATATAACATACACACATATATATATATATATGTATATATTCATTATGTATTAGTCACACATTAACATGTCACACGTAAAAGGCCACATAATTTTTAATTTGATGCCTCCAAGAAAACAATGTGACAGTATACCACTTTTCATAATCAAATAAAAAAAAAATGTGGCATGCATGCACAATATATATTATTCATGAATGTTATATATGCATGCGTGCAGGGCTCTGACGGCAAAAAACAACACGAGGAGGCAGTTGAGAGGGAGGAAGAACAAAAAGGGAGGTCCATGCATGGCCACCAACCCAATAGACAGGTGCTGGAGGTGCGACCCCAACTGGGCAAACAACCGCAAGCGCCTCGCTGACTGCACCCTCGGTTTCGGCCGCAACACCGTCGGAGGCAAGTTCGGCCCCTACTACATCGTCACTGACCCCTCCGACACCGACCTTATAAACCCGAAACCGGGGACTCTCCGCCACGCTGTCATCCAAAAGAAGCCTCTTTGGATCATCTTCGCCCGCAGCATGATAATCAGGCTCTCCGAGGAGCTCATCATGACTGGTGACAAGACTATCGACGCTAGAGGGGCCAATGTCCGCATCGCCTACGGTGCTGGCATCACGATTCAGTTCGTGAAAAATGTCATAATCCATAATCTTCACATTCACGACATTGTTGCGAGTGGTGGTGGGAACATTAGAGACTCCGCTGACCATGTTGGATTCAGGACTAAGAGTGACGGTGATGGTATCTCGATCTTTGGATCATCAAACGTTTGGATCGATCATGTTTCCATGTCCAACTGCCAAGATGGACTCATCGATGCCATCATGGGGTCCACCGCCATCACCATCTCCAACTGCCACTTCACTCACCACAACGAGGTAATTTTTTGAACGATTAGTTAGTAATTATTTGTGTCTCACTATTATTACTTTTAAATGGAATAGTTTGTATAATTCTAGAGCGGATTTAACTCCATGCATACATCAAAATTTCGTGGCCAAATGTTAACTTGAGAAAAATAGACAATCTTAAATAGAAATGAGATTGCAAAACATTTTTTAAAAGATTTAGCATTAACAATGATGATTTGTAATAAGTAACAATATACAGTAGCTAGATTCAAATGTTCAATACATTTTTTTTTTTTTTTTTTGAAAATCACATGTTCAATACAATTAGTGGTGAGATCAAACATTTTTGTTTCTTAAACGAAAAGTAATTATTGAATAAGAATTTGCGAGTTTTAGAATTGGAATATGAATAAGTGAGCACAGAGCATATATTTAAAATCATCAACGATAATCATTAGAGGTTATTGACAAACAAATAAAAGAATGTAAATGCAGGAATTGATGAATGCATATGATAAGATCATAATGGTTTTTGTTCATCATTAGTGAATAATTGTGGATATATATGCATGTACAAATAATCAACATATAATATATATATATATATATATATGCAGATGGGGATTCTTCCATGTTGTCAACAATGACTACACCCACTGGCTCATGTATGCCATCGGTGGTAGCCAACATCCCACCATCATCAGCCAGGGCAACAGGTTCATTGCCCCTCCCAATGACGCTGCTAAACAGGTACCATAATCCTAGCTACTTAATTTTTGTTGGGGATAAACCACACATGAAACTGGCTCAATACACTTTAGGAGCTTAATTTGACCTAAAAGGTTAATTTATTAGATCTTAAGTCATTTTATGTATATAAATCATTTTACATTCTTATCTACATTTTATGTGGGATAACACACACATACATTTTTCTCAACAATCTTTCCCTCATATGTGTGTTCACCAAACTCTCTCTCGAATCAAAGTTTCTAATAGCCGGTACCTCCAAGCATCACACTCTAAATAGTATGAACCATCGGCTCTGATGCCACTTCGTTGGGGAGAAACCACACATGAAATTAACCCAACACACTTTAGGAGTCAAACTTAACCCAAAAGGTTAACTTATTGAGTCTTGGGTTATTCCATATATATAAATTATTTCACGTTCTCATCAATTTTTTATGTAAAATAATAGATACATATACTTTTCTTAATAATTTTTAAATGTCCCGCTTCTTAAAATTACGATTCGGGTTTGCTTGGTATTGCTTTTAGATGAAAGTTGTTTTATTATTTATTATTTTTATTTTTTGAGTTGAAAAACTTTTTCTGGAAGTGTTTAAGTAATCTTCTGATAAAAAAGTTTTAAATCAAAGTCATGAAATCGCACTTCTCCAGATAATTCTTCTAAAAAGATCACTTTGAAACTTGGAACGCAGTTTCAACAAGAGAACTTCATTCTACCATAACTTTTAATTACTTAATTAGAAAATTATATATCATTTTTGTCTTAATTGAAATCTTTTTAAGGCTATGATTCTAAACACTTGTAGCTTTTACTTCTCTTTCATTTAAGGTTTTAAAGCACAAGCAAAAGCTATACCAAAACAGGTCTTGGGTCGCAATATTGGGTCGCGATGATCTTTTCTCGCGATTTGTTCTGATAATTATGAATGACTTTGGTTTTTGGTATTAATGAAGGTGACCAAGAGGGACTATGCTCCGGAGAGCGAGTGGAAGAACTGGCAATGGAGGTCGGAGGGAGACCTATTGATGAACGGGGCATTCTTCGTTCAATCAGGGAAGCGTCTTTCGAAAAGGCGATTCTCGAGGCTGGACATGATCAAGTACAAGCCTGGCACCTTTGTCACCAGACTCACTCGTTATGCCGGCACCCTCCTTTGTGGTGTTGGCAGACCCTGCTAATCATTTTATTAATTCATGCTTTAATTTTCCAATTAATCTTCTACTAATTCACAGACATGTGTAACATGGAAACATATATCTAACCTCCCTTTGTGATATCAAATTAAAGAGGATGAGTAAGAAGAAGGGGTTTGGTAGCTATACAGATCCACACATGTATACTTTTTGTTGAGTACCTTTTCAATCGGTTTTTTATTTTTTGCTTTTGGGTTTTTTGGCTTATTTGGAGAAGATGGAAGATTGGAGAGCAGACGGGACAATATTGGAATGGTTGGGATTAAAAGAAAGCAAATTTTTAGGGAAAGAAAGACCTATTACTGTTTTTCTGTTAATTTGGTTAATGTGCTTCATTATAATCTTCTATATGTGTGACTCTGTGTTTTTGTAAGGACGTTATCTCCACGTTATACCAATTATATAAGGAGTTGATTAGCAGTTTAAAGTCTTCATGATTTTCAGAGTTCATACTGTTTGGAGTTGAAGAACAACTAATTGTTTGAAAAATTAAAGCAAGGAAGAGAAAGATAAGGGAAATCCTCAATCTATCATTTGACCTTATAGATCAAGATTAGCTGCCTCCAACGCGATTATATGTATTTAGCATGTTTAGGATTGTACGAAACTCACGGGCCCTTTAGTAATTTTTAAGATTATGTGCTATCACTGTTAAAGTAAAAAACTATTGTTGGCCCACCTCTTAATAACTTAAGCTTTTGGGATTGATTGGTAAACTTAAGAACATGAATTTTATCAACGGAATTGGCATTCATTGATAGTTCATGGCATTCATTGATAGTTCATTACCTGCTTTAATGTAATAACTTATCAAGAGTATATCAATAAATTTGACATTCATTTTGTTGGCTAGGATTAGTACAGCAAATTGACAACAAAAATGAAACTGACAAAATGACCTCCTTCATTTTTATGTTTGCTCACCCTAAATTCCAAAGTGACTTTACAAACAAAAACATTTAAAAATATCTTTTTACAAATAACTTTTTCTGTTAAATTATTTTTGCAATAGCACTTGTGTTAGTATTACCATACTCAAAGTTTTCTTATTTCCTATACTAGGCCTCCGCCAAATTACCCTTATAAAAAGGATAACGCTCTTTTCTTTTTCTTTTACCTTTTATGTAAAGGCCTAAAATTTGGTTGGAAAACTGAGCAATATTCGAAAGAGTTAACAACGAGAATTTGAAGCAAACAAAGCATCCATATCATAGTATTGGAAGTTCGGAATCTAGTCACGACAGAATATTATAACGGTTCATTCCATTGGAAATAACGTTCTAATTATAATGAGCTTCCCAGTCCAACCAAACTCCTATCCCTCACAAACTGCCTTGTAGAATATTAAAAAACTTGACATATTCCTAAACAAGTAGAGCTCTATATGGACGAGTAATCCTATGTTTAAGCTATAATACGGTTGATAAGTGACCTTCCCATGTTGTCGTTTAGTTGCAGAAAGGACAGATTTCTAAGTTTAAATCTTTCCCAGGAAACAAACAACAGTCTCAAGAGTTGTGGATATAACTATCTAGGAATAGCCAAACTCAGATTGTCCTCAATATGTGGTATTTGTTCTCTTTCATCCTCCTAAATTATACCGATTATATTCTCTTAGCTTTTTCCTAGTTTTTTGAGATTTACTAGCTTTTTAGCTACTAAATTGGTATGGGATTTTCTCCTGTGTAGTACGGAATATAAGCTGAACTAACGTTATTTGACTAATAATTCTAATTACACGAACGATTTAGTTAAGAAAATTAGATATACACTTGGTGTTGGACAAATCATTAGTCAAAGAATGTTGATTCACTGTTGGACAAATTTTTGCTCCTATACTCTTCATGAGAGTTCATTAATTAACACTTAGATTTTTCTAATTTATCACATAATTTTCTCACCAAATATTAAAATGAAACATGTTTAAGCATTCATGTTACGTATATAAACATATATATATATATATATGTATATATATATATATGTATATATATATATATATATATATGAAATTCTTTGAACCTTGGTTTTTCCGAATATCTGGTAATATTATGTTAGTAATCACAGGCCTTGAAGTACGAGTGGGGAAATCCTGCGTGGCTGTCTAGTAGGGTACAGACAGTTCAAATTTTGTCTGAAATGCGTTGTGACCATCGGAATAGAAAAATGACACATTAGTAATAAAACAAGCTTAGAAGCAACTATATAAACACTTAGTTTTAGTACCTGAATTACTCAAACATTAACCAGTAAATGAAGTTGTCTATTGCTGTTTGCCACAAAGTGAACAAAAGAAACATGGAGATGACACTGCAATCTGCATTGTGCCCAACAAAGCGTCCTGTGTGCATGTTAGAAGGCGAAAACCTGACAGCCACAGCTCCTAAGTTTACAAAGAGACGGCGAAGAGATCACTCCTCTGCTGTTAAAGAACAGCAAGCTGAAGTACAGCAGCCACGGGCTGATCAATCTGCTGCTACTACTACTGCTGCTACTGCAACTGTTAAAAGAAGCTCGAGATTCCGTGGTGTTAGCAGGTGCAGTTTTTTAAAGAATAATTCTAGGGACGCCAACTCAAGTTCCAACTCTTTATATCAACTTTGAGTTGTTATTATTTTGTTGGCAGTAGTTTAAAAGCCAATAAAGAATGACAACTCAAGTCAGGATAAGAGTTAGTGTCCCTAGCACTAATTTTTTGAAATATGTTGATGTTGTGTTGTTTTGTTCATTTTTCCTTTTATTTTGATGTTTTTCTTTTTATGGAAAGTGTTGAAGTTGAATGGAAACAATTTTTGTGCAGGCATAGATGGACAGGAAGGTATGAAGCGCATTTATGGGACAAAGGGTCATGGAATCCCACACAAAGGAAGAAGGGAAAGCAAGGTATTGTGGAAAATTGGAATTTTTATCTCTTGTTTATAGTTCTGAAATTTCATGTATATTTTATTTTAATTTACTTATTGTAACTTATTTGTTGGATGATGATCTTGGCATGGAACTGGATTTACCATAATTGGTCTATGGAGCAGTGTATCTGGGTGAGTACTTGTGTAGCTAGTTATGATCAATTTTTCACAATATACATATATATATATATATATATATATATATTACTTTTTAACATTTTAAGAATTGGTATAATTCAACAGGAGCTTATGATGAAGAAGAATCTGCTGCGAGAGCATATGATTTAGCAGCACTAAAGTACTGGGGAACAACAACTTTTACCAATTTCCCGGTAAGAATATCATAACACGATCAAGTTGGAAAGCTATTTGAACTCTTTAGGCAAAGATCAGTTATAGAAAAGTTTTCTAAATCTCTGAAATGATGATGTTTATGAAGGTATCAGATTATGAGAAAGAAATTGAGATCATGAAAACCCTTACTAAAGAAGAGTACTTGGCATCATTAAGAAGGTATTTCGTCAGTTTTATATGATTGTTAGCCTTATAAAAACCTTTCAAAAAAGTACTGAATTTAGTCCTTTAATTCCATCTGCAGAAGAAGTAGTGGCTTTTCAAGAGGTGTTTCCAAGTATAGAGGAGTTGCAAGGTAAGAGATTTTCATTTTCATAGTTTGACCTTCATTTCATTGTTCTTTCTCAAAAAGAAACAATTCCACTTAAGTTTAATTTCTTGTTTGAACTGCAGGCACCATCACAATGGGAGATGGGAAGCAAGGATAGGGAGAGTGTTTGGAAACAAATATCTCTACTTGGGAACTTACAGTAAGTTTAATCCTCTAAATACTTCTTAGAAGTAAAGTAAATAAAATTTTTTCATATTAACAGCAGCGGAGCCAAAAGAATAAGCAAAAGGGGCGGACATATAACTTCAAATTTTAAGGGGAGGCAAACATATGAAACTAAAAATTTTAGCAAAATATACGTACAAAATTAAAAGAAAAAAGAAAATTAGGTGGGCAACTGCCTACCCTCGATATGTATAACGACACCCCTTGGCCATTAATCTAATGAAATGAATTATCCTGAATTTTAAAATCTAAAGATTCACATATACTTGGGATAATAAGTTCAGTAATTGAAATGCAAGTGGCTTAAAAGGCCTTTCTTTTTTCTCATTTTTGTTTTTTATTTCAGGCACCCAAGAGGAGGCTGCTCATGCTTATGATATTGCAGCAATAGAATACAGAGGCATCAATGCAGTGACTAACTTTGACTTGAGCACCTACATCAGATGGCTAAGACCAGTTTTCAATTCACTTGCTGCCCAAGAACCAAAACCCGCCGCAACCACTACAATCCCACCGACAACTTCGCCTTACCTCATTCCCACTAATGAAAAACCAGACTCTTCCATTTTCAATCTCAACCCTTTTACATTAGAGGACTTGGAGACCTCCAAACCCCAAGAGATTTTCCAAAGTCAGACACCTATTAGTCCCTTCATCAACTCTTCTTCCCCGACCGCACTTGACCTCCTCTTCAAATCCTCAGTGTTCAGGGAGCTAGTTGAGAAGAATCTGTGCGCGGAGAGTGATGAAAACGAAGGCAATGACATGAAGAACCTGCTACAGATGAAGAACAGCCATTTTGACATGATTTCCTATGATGGCAATGGCAGTATAGATTGTACTAGTTCTGCCAATTCCTATGCATTGCCTGGTTTGGAGTCTCAGGAGGAGAGCGCATTGACATTGTGCAATGAAAGGGGACAATCTCTATGGAACTTTCCATCAAACTTTTCTTCTGTTAATTTTAACTAACAAGCTTTAAGCTTTCTTATGTGCCTTCAATGTAGGGACAGTTTTAATCTTAGTTAATCCTTGGTTTTGTACTATAATATGCACTCTAATAAGGTTTTATCCGTTATAAATCTTGTGTCTTATCTGGCTATTTAAAGCTGAACATTGATTCAGTTGGCGTGAACAACACCTCATGAAGAAATAAAAGATGAACATAACCAAATGAGAAGAATCATCACATGCTAGTTTTCTTAGAATATAAGAATCTAATATTGGCCCGCTTCCTAATTTTTGGAGAATTAGTAAATCAATGTGGTATCAGAACAGAAAGTCATAGTTCAAACTCATGTACAATTCGAGTTTATAATTAAAATTTATTTGTTGAGTTAGTCCAATCAACATTTGACCACATAATCCATCACCAAGCCTACATGTGAGTTTTATGAGTGATTTGCTCCTAACAACTTAAGTTTTTGAGAGAATTGGTAAATTCATCCCACAATTAGATGAGTCTTTTCTAAAATTTAACAAAAGAGTTTATTATAAAAAACCTCCCCTGTATTTTTCTTTCCTTTTCTAAGTAACTCATATACCTAGAAATTATCACGCATGGTACTTAAAGCTGAACATTAATCAGTTTGGTTTGAAGACCAGCTACGTTGTGAAGAAAAAATGATATAAAATCAAACGAGAAAGAATTAGAGCACGTTACTTTAAGTTAGAGTAAAAGAGACAAATACCCCTTAAGTGCATTAAGTTTGGATTTTCAAACCTTACTCTTAATTAATACTTTTTTTTAGTAAAATAACTATATTAGTCAAAAGGGTATCAAAAGTAAAGGATAAAAGGCTAAACTCATAGAATAAGTTTAACAATTTTCTCTAAGAGTTATGTTGGAAACCAAAGGACAAACAGACTTGGGTCTTTTATGACAGCATAACGAGATTGCTTATGATCGCCATTCCACAATTGCTTTTAGTAGCCGAGCATAACGTTCTATAATTGCTTTGAAATACTTTAATCGAGCAAACTGCAAATGTTCCCTCATCTCAAGTCATCTTTACATTTTTGACATGAAGGTATGCGAGGACGATTTAGATTTAAGCCAGTGTTTGTTTATTATTAGCACGATAGGATAGCTTTTATTATCTGTTAGACATAATTAAAACCTTGTCATTCTAGTGTTGTGCGGCCACTAGCTAGGGGTGTAAATCGGCTGGGTATCTTCGTTTTTGGGGCCGGGCTGACTTCGTCAGGGGTGGAAAAAACCTGAGCCGCAACACCCCGCCAACCACCAAAACCCGCATCAATTCTGCTTGCTCGGGTCAGCTTAGGATCGACTTAGGTACTTAGCTTGATTCTCGTCTAAAAAAATAGTCATTATAGAGGAGTGGCAGAGAGAGATATATGGAGATGGCAGCCTGAAATTCTGAGCGAGAAAGAGAGTGACTACCAGAGATGACCGCCTGAAACTCTAATATATATATTTTTTTATTCGAGTGAATTCTAAAAGAGATGGCTAGGGTTTTTTCATTAAAGATATTTATAATATGGGTATATTAGTGGGAGCTTGGAATGGGATAGGTTTGGATTTTCTTCGAAATATGAGCCCAATGTTCTCATCTAATATACACAATACATATAAAAAAAAGGGTTAGCACCCTTTGTTCGGTCAGGTCGAGAGAGTACAGGTTCTCACTTCCCTAGCCCGCACCCAACCCGCATAGTGCGGGTTGGTGATTCAAAAATAAAATAAAAAATAAAAAAAAATCTGCAAAATTCAAGTTGGGTAGGATAGGGTCGGGTTAGTCAGGTTCGGGAAATTTTCCTACAGCCCTACAACTAGCAGCAAAATTCAAGTTGGGTAGGATAGGGTCGGGTTAGTCAGGTTCGGGAAATTTTCCTACAGCCCTACAACTAGCAGCGTTGATGCCTAGTCGATGTGACATTGCATGGCTATTTGTGAGCCAATTCTGATCAGCTACAGATGGCGGTTGAGCTCCTCATGCTGCTGCGAGGAGATGTCGCTGGCGAGATCTGAGGCCGTGTTGCACAATTGCTTGTGAGAACTCTTTGAATAGTTCAAAATTCACTCGTTAATTTCATTTAACAAACTTGAAACGCATCGTCTGCTGCAATGATTCTTCTGGAAATTGCATTTGCTGATACTTGCCGTTCTTCACCAATTATGTAAACAGACCAAAACAAAAAAGGATTTACAGAAGCAAGAAAATAGGTGGTTGAGATTTGAGACCCATGTTAGAAATATATAGTTTCGGAGCTCACACTTCATAACAAAAGAGTTCACAGTTTCATTCAAGGACTAGTAGAAATATTGCAAAATATATCAAACATGCGTTAGAAGCATCTGAATTTATCTTACTCAACTGCATACTTCTATATCTCCAGGGTTACATTCAATCTTCATGAGCCAGTAATATTTACTTGTATCCTCTCCATCATCATGCAAAGTCAGGATGAAAAAATATATATATATTACACCAAGCAAAGACCTTGGTGGTCATTGATGTCATGTCATACATCCAATTCCAAAAATCAAACCAAATGAACTCTCATATACATGCAAGAAAAACACCAAGGAGGTGGAAACATCTTGTTTCGAATGTCGTCATCAGCACCTAGTTGATATCGACCTACATATATCGAGGTAGTAAGCAAAAATTCACAATAACTTTGAATAATAGAAAGGCCAAATATTTTTAAGCATTTAGAAGAAGAATGCCTAAACTAATCTATCCATTCAATACAAAATGAGCTTCGGAAAAACCAATGAAGGCTAACCAATATGAACGTGTATAGCGATTCATTAATAAACCTGCTTCATTGAGTAATTAAGTTAGCTACTGTGTGGTGGGGAAATGCTAAATTACAGAGGTAATAATCACCTAGAACAGGAGCACTCAAACATGAACGCACCCACCCACATGTAATTCTAGAGAAATGCATTCTAGATTAAGTATTTCTTAGTCCAAACCTCAGCAGGTTTCTTGGCTTTTCTTCTGTCTTGTCAATGCTATCTTGTGCAATGACATCACTTGCCGACTTGCCGATACCTCCAGATAAAGAGTCCGCAATTTCCTTCAGACCCTGTAGAAAAGCAATACAATAATTAAAAAAAGGATAGCGGAACATTAATGATTAAGCGCCGAGATATCCCTTGCTGAAGATAGAGTGGCTAAATTGCCCAAGGGAAATATGTCAGAATTACACCTAGAAGTGTGGGAGCACTGTGTGGATGTATAAGTATAAACCTTTTCATGTCTTAATTAAATGGACAAACCAAAGTCAACCAAAAAAAGCTGCCCACAAATTTGATGTCACGTAAACCCTTTTCTAAACTACTTGGGTTCTCAACATAACGTCCCTTTCCTATGTTTCTGTATAAAAATGAACTCCACTTATGACCTTTCGTTTTCTTCCCGTAATTATTATGCAGCTATACCAAGCAAGTTATAGTTGTCAAATCATCACCCATACATCGTAAGCATCCAGCTTACTGAGCATGTTAGTATTTAATACATATTGTTATATATGATAGTTTCACCAACTAGAAAAGGGAAGAAAGGGGATGCGGAAGGTTGATAGAGACAAACCATCAGACTTGGAGTGTCTGAGCCTGTGAGTAAACCACGTGACTTGCCAGAGAGCTTAAATTGTTCCTGCAATAAGTTTGAACATAATTTAGAATGCTATTTCAAAAAACATAGAGCTGTGTCTAAACTGTTAGGTTAGCTTACAACAGACTCTTTACCACATTCAACAGGAAAAAAAATAAATAAATAAGAAAAATAGAAGAGAGGTTCCCGGAAATGATTTGTCTACAAGAGTATGAGCACAAACTATTGACAAGATTTCCTTGAACTTAATAGTGGGCGTAGTTACTTTTTTTGCTAATCAGGGGACTTAATTACTTAAATAAAAAAACACGCCTCTCCATTTGCAAATAAACACAGAAAAATAAAAGCCTAAAGTGGATGACAGAATAGCTAACGTTTCGTAGAAAACAAATGATAATTGGAATAATAATAAACTTTAAATCAAGAAAAAGCTCTATATCCATGCAACTATCAGTTCGTTACCTGCAGTTCTTCAGGCATTTTCATTTTCCTTCCATCAACAAAGTTGCATAGGTAGAAGACACCAAGATTTGCAAGATCCTGTCAAAGAACAAAAGGTTGGTACAATATCAGGCATACAGGTAATGATGATGACACAAGAAATGAAAATAAACTCCACTGAGAGTCATAAAATAATAATGATCAGTATACCAAACACAATATTAGGATTACAAGACAATATACCATACTCATATCTGTAAAATCTCAACAACAAAAAGGAGGGTGAAGGAAAGGGAAATCTTCAAGAAATTTGCACGCCAAAAGTTACCAGCAGATGACATGCACATATTCTTCTATCATTAAATAAAAACTATTTCTTGCCTCTTTCTGGATCAATTAAGACCTTTAAAGTTTCACTAATTAGGAAAGCGAACAAAAAATTCCAGATAATGTGCCAAAAAATAACAATTGAAAGTTCTGTAGGGATTCATTCAATATGGTTAAAATAGTTCACATAAAATAACTGGATGTTGTTTTACCTGCTTCTCCTCCAATGTACATATCTTCCCATTCTGTTTTAAAAAAGAAAGAAAAAGAAAACAAGATCAATAAAATTTCATGAAAGAAAAAGAGAATTAGTGGCTCCTGTAAAACTGAATGTTATTGCTCCTATTACGATTATCATACACCTGACGCCAATAACATCTTTTTTTTTAGACCTTATGAGCCTAATCTACGACTATCATGAAATTGAAAGCATGACTCACCAAACCAGATACCATACGCTGCAATGTGCTCAAGTCATAGTCAATTTCAGAAAGAGATTGGTGTACTCCAGCAACCTGTTTCACAAGTTACAAACGCAATAAGAAATGGTAGGAGACAAATGTGTTATAACAACTAATCACATCATATCCATATTAATAAGCATAAAATATAGATAAAATTAACACATACCGAATGGCCCCAAAACACCCATATCCTCTTTACGGAAGTGGAAAGAGATTTAGTCGAGACTTAATTGACACAGACATAATCTCAAATTTTCTAATTAACACATAGCCAATGGCTCCAACACACACGTTGAAAGCATGTTGGCTTCTACTCAAGAAAACAAGGACAGAAAACTAAAAAAGTGCCGAAAAACATACATCATCCTTTATTGCCCGAGACAGCTCGTTCTGCTCCAGCATTTTATCATCCAAGTTCTGGATCCTCTGAGTCAAGTGCTGCTTTGTTTTCTGACCAATATAAAAATTGCACCTAATCAGAATTCAGTTTCCCTCTTGTAAATGGAATTGGATGTCACAGAGCAAGTAAATTTTGGGAGGAGTATGTGGATAAGTAACATACTCATTCAACACAAGAAAAGAACAATAATATAACTGAACTATAGAAGAATGCGTATTATTTAAATTCTCTTCAAGGAATTGGTGTCGGCTTTCAAAAGAACTGGATGATTTAGAAAAGAACCAAGAAGATAAATTTGTCAAATGATGCTAGCAATAACATTGCCACACTGTCCTTCGAGTAACACTGTAGCAGTGATATCATGGCCTCAAAAAATCGTATTAATCAAAGAAAACTCTCTCTAAATCATATGATGAAGAATAAAAATGCAATCAGGTGAGTGGAGACTTACAGCCAGAGCATCTGATACATTCTCCAGATGTTTTGTCAAATTTGAAACAGCAGTGGCCATATTACGCTTTGTTACGTACATAAGATCCGAGAAAGAAATACCCTGATCATTCAAACAAAAGGACCATTATTCTTCAGTAAGCAAATTTTCTCTTTTCTTTCTCTAACTATAATTCAAAGAAAGTGAAAATCGTGATACACAGAAATAAAAATAAAGACACAAATAAAAAATAAATAAAGAATCAAATGGATACGCAAAGGTTATTGGGTTATCCAGTTACCTTCCACCACATGTAAGCATATCCCAATGCCCCCACTGCAGCAACTGGACCTACAAGTGATGTTAAGTTGCCTGGCCCAAGGGGGGAAAAAAGGAATGTTAAGAAACACTATCAGAAAATGCTTCATTAAAAACCTATTGAATATCAATTTGCATGAAAATTTATGACAAAAGCAAAACAGTAAATCTTTGAATCTCCCAAAAAGGGCGGGGAGGGAAAAAAGTGAACAGATGGATACCATAGCCATCACCCCCATTGAGAACAGTAATCTGTCGATTTGAGGCAATTCTTCGTAGCTCTTCTGACATCCGACGCACCTAGAAGATATAACAAACAAACAAAATTCAAGACTTTGCCTCTCAGTTTGCATAAATCAATTTGAAAATTCACTCTCCAAAAAATAATTACTCAACATCGGCGATATATTACCTGAGCCACAAGAACATCAGAATGATCAGAATCGCTTTCTGATTTCTCCCTCGATTCGATTCCCTGCACTATTCTCTGTCCAATATACCACAAAACGCATCAAGAACGGTAAAACTTACCCAGCTCACACTCCATAATCGCCGAGATTACATAAGATTCAAATTAAACACGATAATACGAGCTCCAACAAATTGATCAAACTCTTTCAGATTCAACAGAAAAAACTCAAAACCAACGTGAATTATAAACAAAATTTAGGGGATCACACAAAAGAAGCTAAATTTGAGCAAAAAGTTGAAGACAACCTGAAGCTCGCCAAGCAAATCCGAGATTTTATTGTTCTTGAGCACGATCGTGGAAGTGTAACCTAGAGAGAAGAATCAGGAAAGGTCAGAGTACGTATAAGAAGAACAGCTAGTGCGAAAGAAGAAGCAGTAGAGAAGGATTGTTAAGCAATACCTACTCCGGCCAAGACCAGAATCTTGGAGAGGCCGATTCCGGATTGCATGGCCATGGCTGCGTTTGGCCGATCAGAAACCTACTGAATATTGTAGAGAGAGAGGGTGAGGATTTCAAGGAGAGAGAGAGATTGGGGGGAGAATCGGGCAACCGGATAAAGATGAAGATGACTGGTGACCTATTCAACTACTACCTAAATTCATGCGAAGCGGCGTCGTATTGAGATGATAAAACCGCCTCTCCAGGACGACGTCGCTTTGATAATATGGGCCTTGTCTCTTTTGGGCCTGCTCTTCCCCTTTGGTTGTTTACTGAATTACATAGCATATTTTTGAAATGTAAGAAATTACCCAAATCCGAATAATCCGGTCTATCCGAAATTATCAGGTTTTTTTTTCCTTTTTTTTAATTTCCAATTTTCCCAACCCGCAATGTGCGAGTAGGGTTGTGGGCCGGGGTCCATTTAATCCGAGCCTACCCGGCCTACTTACTCACCTGGGGTGCATATTTTTATTAGGTATGTTCGCTTCGTAGATTCAAGTTTTTAATTCGAGTTAAGATGTGACATTTTTTAAAAAATTTTAACTATACAAAAAAGGTTAGATGTGACATTTTTTAGAGAGTTTTAACTGTAAAAATCTAAAATTAAAAATTCAAATCGATGACATGAATGAGACCTTAATACATCCCATTTTAAAGAATATGGGCCTGTTTGTTTTTGTTTTCCTTTTCATTTTTCACATTTTTCGAGGTTAAAAACTGAAAATGTGTATAAGAAATGCGTTTGGCGAAAAAAATTTTACAAAATAAAAACAAAATCATTTTTGTCGTTTTCTAAAAATCTGAAAACGTAAGAAACTTGTTTTCATTTTCTCGTTTTCCTTTTCTCTCTTCAGCCCACCAGAGACCCCTCCTCCTCCTGGACTTTGTAGATTAGGAAGAAGTGGTCGTCGACGAGGCGCTCGTGCTTGACGACCTTGCCGACGTCAGCGGTGCCGGAGACGGCGTCAAAGTAGATGACGCCGAAGCGGTGGTGGCGGCAGCCCCCCCACTCTTCTCTGACTGCACCAC